ACTGAAAATTGAATTTCGTATTTGCAACAGCAACACATGAGGATGCTTAAATAGCTCAACCTAATTTAAGAACAACAGATGCTTGCAATTACAATACAGTAGCTAAGCACTGTTTCGGATCGCAAGATGAAATGTCCATTTAGAGATCATATAGCAGAAAATTAAAACATCTTGAACTCATATTCAATGATCATTAAATAAAAAATCCCAAAATAATTCATGAACAGCGCCGTCCAATTAGCCATGATTTTTCCCCAAATGGACTTTAAGAAATGAGATCAAATATAAGAAGCAAAAATCAAGTTCGTTTGACAAAATAAAGAACTAGTCTTACAACAGCCAACACGGGCAAGTGGCTTTAATTACTCCTAGTAATCAGGAATTATGATCTATCCAACAGTGGATGGAGACTAGGTCAAATAAGGCGAGGCTGTGTTTATCGCGGTATACGATATGACTAGACCGACTCCGAACCAACAGTATCAGAACTCCACCGATAAAGTAGGCGTGAAGCAATTCAATACCGGCAATAACAGAGAGAGTAACAATTTCTATATGCTTGAAGAAATCAATCAGTATGAACCACAAGGTCGCAGAAATGGAAGTCGTATAAAAGCAGAAACAAATAAAATTATCGTGAATAAAGTGAAAACAAACCAGCAAAACTGCTTCGACAGAAGTCCTCAATCCATAAGCAGCATAACTGAATAAAAACAGCCGAGAAAACATATTAGACAAACTCAACAAACGTAAACAGAAACCTCGCCGCAGTATAGTCAACGGATTAAAGTGAGGTTTGATACTTGGATTTCATCCTGATAACGCGATCAGCCAAGGTCTTGTCCTTGAAAATAAGAGGCTCTTTGGATCCGAAGTAGTAGTTACTGAGAGGGTAAATATCGATGGCGCGGATTTGGTCGGCAGCGGCAGATTCATCATCCTCCATAGCATGCATACGTCCGTCGTCTCCCATGGCCGATTGAGGAAAACAGTAGAAAATCAAGAGAGATGAAGTAGCAGAAGAAAAGGAGGAAAGTGGATGAAGATGGCGTGTTGGTTGCAGAGAATGGACACGAAGCGAAAAGTGGAGTGCGTCACTCAGTGCTTAATGAGGCTAAAAGGAGACAGACAAGACGACCAGTAGGAAAGAAGAGAAAGAATTTCAGAATGACGGTACTTGGTTTCTCGGCAAGAGGAATAGTAAATGGGCTTTTTTTGGGCTTTCTGTTTCGGACAGCACGCCGAGGCCCAAGGGCTTTTTTTGGGCTTTCTGTTTCGGACAGCACGCCGAGGCCCAAGGTCTTTTTTTTGGGCTTTCTGTTTCGGACAGCACGCCGAGACCCAATGCAATATACCGCCCATCACAATTTACAATTTCTCACCCTTACCAATTTGGAATCTGTAGGGGCTTATTTGTCTTTTGACAGTTTAAAAAATATGACAAGCTGTAGGGGTATGGCTGCCATCCCAACCTTACTGCAAACCTTATTTAACTATATAAATCCACTATTTAGAGTTGCCATTTTTGATATAATGTGGACTTTGAATGGAATATATTCATATTTCAAATTGCAATACAATAAACTTTTAGATTTAAAATATATATTTTTTCAATAATAAATTATTTATTTTTCATTTAGCACTTAATTTAACAACTGAAGTAAAGTTAAAAATGGTATTAAAAATATTAATAATTGAGTTTAATTATATATATGTAATAAAAGAAATTGGAAAAAAGGCATTAAATAAAAAGTATTAATAGCTTCATCTATGAATGGTTGATATATATATAATAAATAAAAAGAAAATTATTTTAAGGCTTTTCGTTATTTTTCAAGTCTCAAGAACGAGGGAGACAATTTTTCTGAGCTTTTAGCTGATGAGAGATGAAGGTGATCGTTGTTTGACGTTCAAATTTCCTTCTTACTTCAAGAGAACCGTGTTCGTTCGTTCGTTTGTTTGTTCGTTCGTTCGTTTGTTTGTTCGTTCGTTCGTTCGTTCGTTCCTCCAATTCCATTTCTGATCCGTGGAAAGCGAGACAAATTGCATTTTCAGTCGCGTTTGTTCACCTCTTCCTCAATTCCGGTATCTTTTTCCTCTCGTTCTTATTTCAATGTTTCATTTTTCATCTTCTTTTTCTGTTTCTCTTCGATTTTTCTGCTGTGAGTTCATTAATTCGTGTTTGCAGTATTTTGTTCTTCGATTTCTCTTTTGTTTTGTTCGGTAATTGATGGATGTTGCAGAAATGTCCCTTCGTTTTTGAACGATGGTATCTGCGACCTTTGGCTTCGCTTGGTTGGGGATTTGAGATAGGAGTTTAGGATTTTTGGCACCTGGAGAAGTTTGTTATTGCAATTCGTATCCCTTGTGCCTTTTATTCTAGACTTTAGCGTTGGAGCATGACTATGATTCACGAACTGCAATTTTAGTCAAGCTAGGTTATTTTATTACCAATTTATCGGATGGCTTGTGGAAGATTGAAAAGCTTCATAGGCTAGTGTCTTCATTGAGTAGTTTTCTTTTTAGTCAACATGAAAGTCTGATGAATTTGATAAAAGAAACTTGGATTATTTGGATTTTAAATACCAAACTAGGGGGAATTTTAACTCCAGATGCAATTCTTCTGATTGCTGCATCTTGTCGGGTGTCATTTGATTATATTGTTCTAACTACTGAGTAGATTTTAATCTCTTGACACAGGTGTAGAAAGTGGATAGTGCAAACTTGAAGAGCTTATCCTTCCATAAACTCCAGCTTCAACATGGATCCAAGTACCGTAATTCTTCTTATAACTAGGATTCCTCATAATAATAATAAAAAAGAAGGCATGATTATGTGGGTGCAAAAGATGTTTTATTTTGTTGGGTTGTAACATAGTTCTTGCCTAGTAATTTCTTTAATATTCAAGGTTCATTAAGGTGTCTTGGACATTCATATGTGCCTATGCTCATTGTTATGCTTTCACTCCTTAGTTATACGTTTCATTAAAGAATGTAGTCACATTCAGAAATTGAAGCTAATTTAGTGTCTAATAATCGGTTTTTGACACTGTTGGCGGTCTTCACGATAGCAATAATACAAGATCGAACTGAAAAAATAGTTTTTACAAAATAGATGGAACAATTTCTTGAGTTGTGAACATGTTTTCGGGATGTTAAAAATGCAGAAGTTGAACAGACAGTGCAACTGGTGGAATCGGTCCCTGATAAGCATCCCGATCTTTTGAGGCCATCTGCCCGAATCTGTTCCATATTCGAAGGTAAATCAGGGATAATAAAACATGCTGGCTAGGACATTTTTGTTGAGGATGGTTGGGAGGGAGTCCACATTGGCTAATTTAGAGAATGATAATGGGTTTATAAATAGCGAATACATCTCCATTGGTATGAGGCCTCCTTAGGAAGTCCAATGTAAAAACATGAGAGTTTTTGGTTGCTGGAGTCTTTCGCTTGTCTAGTCATTTATGTCCAAAATGATTAACGATGAAAGCTATCTTTACATGATGTGCTTGTATTCACCTAGGCCAAGAAAAAGATGTGTCTGACCATACAAAGAACAAGTATACTCTTCTCAAAGATGTCGAGGATTTGCAAATAGGTCTATATGACAAGCCTCTTCCGTGTTTTGGCTGTGGCATTGGATGGTTCTCGTGAGTATTGTGTAACTTTCTCTGTAAAAACAATTTGGGGAACCTGTCGTCAAGTTTACTGATCTTACCTTTGTATCTTTGTCTTTCTCTTCAGTTTCCTTCTCGGGTTTTTGTTCCCGATAATGTGGTACTATGCCACAATTCTCTATTTCTGGAACACCCGCAGAGATCCCAGGGAACGAGCTGGTTTAGCTGCGTCTGCCATTGCTGTAAGTGTTCCTTTTTTCTTTCCCACTCCCACCCCAACCATGAAAATCTTAGGAAAAACAAACATAATGACATCAAGTAGCCAAATTCCTTACATTGCTATGTATCTTGCCATCTCCTATAAGCTGTTCATTGAACATGATTCAGCTTCTAAAGAAGCAAAACAATTGTAAATGGCGCAGGCATTTGCTTGTTCGGTCATCTTGTTAATCATCGTAGCTGTTCTCCTATTATAGCCTCCCCTGTCTCACGACTCGCACTGCATTCTCTTTGCCCCTTCAACCTTGGCAACACAGTCCCAAACAGAACAGCTTCCGTGGATATGAAGATAAAGATCAAGGGGCTCTGTTGCGGGACAATGGTGATTTCTTTTACTTTTCTTTACATCAAATGTAAATGTTTATAAATCATATTTACATATATTTGCCACCTCTTTCGAGAGAGAGTTGTCACATTTGTATCACACAAAGAACATATAATACATGGATCTTATTTTATCCCAAGTTTACTACGTAATCTAATAAACAAAACAATCTACATTTCTCGACTTTTCAGAACTGATTTTTCCTGAAGATCTACTACTTGAAGCCAGATCATCAAAGGTGGATTTGAACTATGGTATGCATGCAACCTAATACAATAGCTTTACAGATTTCAAAAACAAGGCAACCTCACATTGAGTGGAATGAGCATAAAACAGTTCCAAAACTATGCAGCTCATCCTTCTCTTTTGAAACTAATAACAATACAATGGCATACCAGAGAGTCGTGAAGAAAAACCCTGAATGTCGCCGTTGTCATTGTCGTTGTACATTGATCCAACCTAAACAGAACTGTTCGATATTGATATTCATCATCCATGCCTTTCTTTTCATGAACGGATTGCAATTCATTGAGCCACAAATTCATCCTTGAAGTCCAGACTAGACAATAATGGGAAATTTGAACGTCGTTTATCTACATCAATTCCAGCCTGAAGGGAACTATACAAGATCAATATCCATTGTCCCTGTTTTGCTCTCTCTTTTCATGAATGAGGGGAACTTGGTTCACTTGAAAACTACAATAATAACATATATGTATCCTATGAATGTGTACTCACAAAAATAATAATATAAAACCACATAACATGTAGTATCCTATGAGTGTTGGAGATTGGATCCCAAAATGACTGAATATTTCATTAACTCATTGATAAAACAAGTCATCTACATCTCCTCCAATGATGAAGTAAACTTATAATAAACGTCTAAAAATCACTAGACAAAAATGGGCAAGCAAATGCAGCAGAATTTGATTTGCAATGCTACAGAAATGGCGTTTCGTTCAAGCTTTAGCTGCTAGCCGAACATATTTCTTCTCAACGGCAAATTTTGAACTTGAATTAATCTGGCAGTCACAGGTAACATCATTAGGAAATGGAATGATGCTCGAAAGTATCGAAGTTCAACCGTCCTTCCAAAAACTCATAAATAGACAATAAATGATTTAGAAAATATAGATCAGAAGAGCAAACCTTTTGCTCGAGCATCTCAACAAGTTTAGTTTCATCTCCTGTGTCACCGGATTCGCGAATAGACTTGAGAGTAAGTTTTCTTAGTTTTGATATCTTGAGAACACCGTCAGGACTCTGTCGTATATACCCAACAAAAAAAAAAACAGTAGTATGTTAAAAAAAATGACAGCAAGAAGAGGAATATTACTGATGCAAAAAGGTGGTATTTCGCTTCTTCCTAAGGGCTACACTATAGCAATACTGCTGTTATCAATAGAATCGGTCGTTATAAGAATAATTGATTAACATATCTTCACCACAGCGACCATTCCATCAAAGAAATATTTTAAGAAAAACTTAGATAATCAAGAATACTTGTATGAAACAAATTATCATTGACCATCACAAGAATGACAAGAAATATGTAAATAAGAAAATTGCACAAAAACGTACAGATTTCAAAATTGATGTTATCAGCTTCTTCCACTTGATCTTCTTTTCTTTCAGAGATTTGGACACTGTGATCTCATCCTTTATTGGCTTAATCTCGGCTTTGGTAGCCTGAATAACCTCCCCATTACCTCTATTTGGGTCATCGTCTTTAGTCTTTTCTGTCGAACCATCATCAAGTTTCCTCTTTTTCTTTGTATGTGAAGTACCATTATCTGATTCCAAGTGTCCAAGTTCACTTTCAGCTTTAAGCTGATCTTTCAATTTTTCTGCTCCAACATGTCCATTTTCAACTACGTCATCTTTGGGAGTTTCTTCAACTGCAGGCATTTTATCCGAAACAGCTTCCTCCTCCGTCTGATTTTGTTTATTCGCTGCATGAAACCCACGGGCTTTTCCTTTGTGCTTCTTTCCTTCTGCATGAAGCAGCAAAGTCTGTTTACTAGTTGCCTTGGTATTGCAAAGACTGCAAAAAAACACATGATACATAGTGTACATGCACAAAAATCGACTTAGAATGAGGTAGCCAATCTCAATAAATCATCATTACATATTTCAAGCGCTCTCTAATTTTAACAACCATTGAAATATTAACTCTTTAAGCAAAAAAATTATGTCCATTAATCTAGAATATGTTTATCCACCAACAATTAACATTTCATATCAATAGGTACGTAGGCTCATATGCAACAAGTAGTAATATGCTTAACAGAACAATAAATAAAGATACCTGCAGAACCAAGGAGGGCGATTGGACAATCCAACGAGAATATCAAAATCAGGTTGCTGTTTTGAATCCTTGTTGGACTTCGGGGTGGTGACATTAATGGCTGCCCCTTGCCCCTTTGGACCATATTTTTCCTGCAAGAAGTAGGCAAAACTTGTAACAAGAAAAACAACACCGATGACCTGCTGAAGCTACAGCAGCAATGTACGTGGATTTTGTATGGAACCAACTATGATCAGTACTAACGGGCTACCAAACAAATCTTTTACAAAAGTAATTTTCATAAGCACATATAGGATCGACTAGTAGTTCGAAGCAATTCGATTTTAACCAGTAGAATAACAGGAGTATAGATAATAGATTCTAACCGCTTCAGTAATACATTGAGTATGGCCTTGTACGCTTTCCTGCCCAAAGGTTTGTCCACAATCGATGCAAGACAGCTACAGGAAATTATAGAAACGAATAAGACGAAAACAAAGAAAAAAATATTAAAAACAAAACATTAAGACGAAATCAAAATGCGCCCCAAATCATCTCCATGGTAGAATTCTATGAATCAAACTTCCAACTTATACATTGTTGAAGGGGAAAACCGGAGAAAACGCATTTTCCCTTCAGAGTCACTTCTGGAAAAATGCATATTATCCGATTCCCGTTTCTTCGAGGAAAGAGAAAATCGAAACCTTGGTAGCGGAACACGTTCTGAAGTGATTCGGCAACTTGGGTTTCTTGAGGTTGTCTCCGCAGTCTTCGCACTGAAACCACACCATATTTGCTCTCTACCAAGCCCGTAGTGATAAAGGCGGATTGTGATTTGTGAGATACAGCAGCGACAACGAGTTCCGTCTAGGGTTTTTAGTTTGGACTATTTCAGAAAAAGGGGTTTATAAATTTGCTACAAATAAACCAAACTTAAATTATTATTATTATTATTATTATTATTATTATTATTACTTTAAATTACATTTCCTTATAAGAAAAAAATAGTACTAAGTACTGTAAATTTTTTACTTTTAGCTATAAATTACATTTCTATATATTTTAATCTTAATTCTAATTTGTCTCATATGAATTATAGTTAGCTACCACAAACCATATTAATTTGTTTAACCTTGAATTGCATCTTAACTACAATTCTAACGTCAAACCAAACTTCATTTTTTGACATAAAATTCACAACCAAATATTGCAAATAGTTTCAATCCAATATTTTGAGACAATTAATTCACAATTCACGCACACATTTGTTTTGCCAAAAAAAAAAAAAATAGAAATAACGGACGGAAGATTTGTTCTTATTTACACTATGGACATTTCTGTCGAAACATTGTATGCAAACAACCACCGCAGTCAAAACATTGGCTACAAACATAATTTAACTGCTGAACACAACTTTTTTATGGGAACCCTCCATTTTTATTAAAATAATCAATAATCTTTAAAAATACTACATTTTGTTATGATTGAAATTGTTTGAGATGAAAAACTTAATGGAGTAGAAGCTACCCATGTAGGCCAAATGTATCCCCAAAATATATCTAGTTATATCTAGACAAACTAATGATGATCTAAGCACATCTGAATGTTCATGCAAATACACTCACTCTATTCTTAGCAATTTTCATATAAGAGCCTAAGGGTGGAAAAAAGGAAACGAACTACCTTGTTAAGCCATCGACCAGAAGAAAAGCTACTGGCATGATGGAACAGGGCGTAGCAGATCAGGAACATTAAAAAAGATAATGGAACAGGTTCGTACATAGAGTACAATCCATGTATCCCAGTTTGGAATTACATAGAAAACATTTTAATAACCTATAGACTACCTGGATAAACAGGGTTCCAAGCTAACGCATTTAGTACATACCCTCCTCTGGGAACATGGATTAACGTTGACTACAAGCTAGCTTAATCCAACATGAACAAAATTAAGAAGGTACCCACCATTATCAGGGCCGTGCTCGCTTATTGCTGCACGAGGGGCATTTGTATTGCTTGATATGTTCGGCTCTTGCAGGAGTGATCTTCACACACTTCCCGTGGAACCACTTCTCACATAGGTCGCAACATATCCAGAACTCGTCCGATGCATAGTTTTCCCCGCACGCCCCGCATAAGGTCTCCCCGTGCTCCTCCTCCTCTTCCTCGTCTAGTAGTCCCTCATCCTCTTCTTTTGCTAAACCCTTCGACAATTTGCTTGCCTCAGATCCTCGCTGGTAACCATGTTAATGTTAAAAGAAAAACAAGTTAAACAAATATAATATGGTCAAAAGATCATATATACAATGAAAACCGACTGGAAATATAGAGTTGCAGATAAATTCCATCATGAGTAGTCAAGAACAAAGTTGTCAAAAGGAATAACACCAACATCAGATGTGCACATGGTGGTGGTTCAGGAATCCCAAAAATTTTACAACTCTTTCCTTTGTAAGTTTTTCTTACAGTCTGTTTTCTGTATTTGAAAAAGAGAACAATTGCATAGGGTCAAAAATGTTGAGGATTGTTAGGAGGTAGTCCCACATTGATAACTTAGGGAACGATCCTGAATTTATAAGTAAGGAATACATCTTCTAACAAAGAAATATCTGATTACACTAAAGTTCAAATTCTTGAGAAATTGTTAAAAAAATCTTAGATCAATCTAAACCCAACTAAGTGTTCATCGAATGAGAATGAAAAAGAAACAAGACACTAAAATTTGGTTTACCCCTTTTGAGCCTGTCTTGGATTTGTTGCTGCTGTTATTTGAAACTAACGACTTGTCTTTTCCCTGTTTCTTCACACCTCCCGTCACGACCTCAAAGATTGTGGGCATATCATTTATCATTGTAAAAAGTCGTTTCCTGGATCATGAGTCAAATTCTAAAAGTTAGCAAATAATGGCACCCACAAGAGATAGAGTACATAAATTATGAGTCTATTTTCCCACCCACCTAAGTTTCTTTGATAATTTTATAAGAGAAATAAACGCTTTTACATATAAAACATAAGTGCCCATCAGTCAATCTCCATATTGTGCAATCTTCAAAGAACAGGTGGAAACACAATTAATAAAGAGATGTGCCAGCATCAGTGACATCAGTGTAGTGCTCTGCACATCTAATCATTCTGTTTCTCTTTTTCTTTTTTAAATATCAGTGACAATTTTGTATTTTCAAGACACAAACCATACACGTCATTGAACTATGGTGCTGCCGTGCAGCAGCACAGCAGCAACGGCCAGCAAATTTAGCTCATAAATGGTAAGGGGAAGAAGTACCTGTCAGACTTATCAAAGCCAAATCTAGCACCAAAATAGAAAGCCACAGCTAGAAGCCATGCGTCACTATGAACGGCAACAAGGGACAGCCAATCCTTTTCTTGCATCCCATCTCTAGCAAAGTTAATACCCAATGCTGGTTCCGGAAGCTCTGGAGGTACTTCCTCAGCAGGCAAATTAACTTCCCACAGTTCATTAGGGAACCCATATAGGCAGAGGTTTTCCTTCTCTGAAATTGATTATCAGTAGTGTAAATAATTGCAAAGCTCAACACAGTCCGTAAAAGCAGAAATGGCTTCATCGAGTACTTGAGTGCTATTAGAAAAAAAGTAAATGCTTCCACTCCGAAAGCAATTATATTACTATTCAAATACTAGAAGGAATTGGGTTCCCAATAACTATCGCATTATGTTTTGAAGGTCTACACAGAAGAAGGCATGGAGAAAAGTAATGTCACCAACTTCATTCTCAAGAAACAAACAGTGACTAAAGTTCCATGAACAATTAATTCCTACATGCAAGCTAGATGAAAACAAAAACAAAAGTTGGTGAATCCAAACAAGAACAATTAATTCACGAGTGAAAGAGAATGCGCCACAGAGAAGATTTCAAAAGAAAATTCGTGACTCTCAAATCGCAATCACAAGTGAAAGAAAACCCTCAATTTACGCAAAAGAGGAAGAACACAGAGAAGGGAGGTCAGACCAGGGTCGCACTGCTGATAAAATTCTTCAACATCTGCAAAAAAAAAAAAAATGGCAAGAGGAGAAGAGTAGTTAATTACAAGGCTCCCCTCAGAAAACTAATCAGAAATGTACGAAAGCCTATCTTATCTAATACTCTAAAAGTTGAAAACATAAAGCGAGAAATAGACAAGGCGGAAAAGGAAAAACAGAGATTGAACAAGACCGGTGGTGAGAGCTCTAATCATTCCGGCACGACGGCCCTTAAAGTCCCTGAAAACCTCTTCCACAGTCCGAGGATTGTAAGCCGCTCCTCTATCCATGTTTGCTTGAATCCAGAGCCCCTTACAAAGCTTGAATTCGAGAAAAGAAGAATCAAACAGCAAGAAATGGGTGCGGAAATGGAAATAAGAAGAAATGGAGAGCGAAAAGCAGCAGAACAAAGGGCAAGAAAGCCACTCGTGCAATGGATAGCTATGGAGAAGAAAGGCACCGAGAAACGAAAATCAAACGCCCAAAAAGATTCAGAAGCAGAAGGAGAGTGTTCTTCTTGCAGTTGAGATTTTGAAGATTGGGCTGCTCTTTCTGTTTAACAGGAGAGGGAACAAAAAAAGAAAAAATAATAATAAAATAGAATAAATAGTTAATAATTCCATTTTAGCTTTTGTAAACAGTAGGGGCAAAGATAGAATGCAATAGGGCGCCCTGGGATTTCTTGAACATCCAATGACGTGGCAGGGGATGATTGGATAGCGGATTTAAATGGATTTTTAAATTTGATTTTTATGGAGAAAAATGCCGCCAAGTCAAAACGACAGTAAATAAAGCCATTTGTTGTTCTGACCGATAGAGATCACATGGCAATACCAATATCTCCAACTTTTCGTACACGTCATGATTTAACGTCACCAACGCTCCCCACGGCGGAGGACCGTCGGAGCCGTCGCCGGCCGGTGACCTGTCTTTGGAAACAAGCGACAAATTATCCAGAAGAAGCAACTAAATGGAAACAGGAATATCTATATTTCAAACTAATAATAATAAATGCAGCTCAAATAGGTTTTGGTCTATTCCATTGTGGTCCGCTTCTAAAAATTTGGGTTGTGGTGTTCTAAGCATGAGCAAATTATTGAAGTCCATTAATGGCGGCTGTCTCTACCCACTCCAAACTAACTAAGATGACAAAGCATAAATAAGTAACAAAGCCAAGGATGATTTGCCGGTCTAATTGAATCATGTGGAGGCTTCTGGTGGTCTGATCTTCTTCCACCTCCCCGTTTTTCACTAGACAACTGATGCATGGTTCCGCGCTCCATCGTGCACAAAGCCACCACTGGAAGAGACGGCGGAGAACTGACTGTCTGACCATGTCCGACCAAACATTACTGAGCCACTAGAGATGCTTGTGGTCTCAGAGCAAGTTGCAGTCATGGTGCCAGGGTCACCAGTTTCGGAGCTACAGGTATTGAAGTCTGGTGTATCTTTCCGTTGGCACCAATCGGTCGGAGGAGGAGTTATATGGTTGGGTGGCTGGTCTTTTTTTGCGCTGAGAAAGCGTCCACCAGATCCCCTCACTCTGTTCACTGCATGACGATGTCGGGACTCGTGAAGATATGGCTGCAATGAACAGATAATTTGAGCATAAAAGTGAAATGATGTCGTTGTCTAATAGAAAAGTGAAAGATTAGTTCATATAAACACTATGAACAAATAGAACAGTGTTAAGTGGGGTGCTGTTATCAAACATGAAGCAGAAAATGTAATACATAATCAAGGGCATGTGATATCCCAAGTTGGTTGGGGAGGATAACAAAACACCCTTTATAAGGGTGTGGAAACCTTTTCCTAGCAGACACGTTTTAAAAACCGTGAGGAGCAGCTCGAAAAGAAAGTCCAAAGAGGACAATATCTCCTAGCAATGGGCTTGGGCCGTTACAAATGATACCAGAGTTAGACACCGGACGATGTGCCAGCGAGGAGACTGTTCCCCGAAGGGGGTAGACACGAGACGGTGTGCCAGTAAGGACACTGGGCCTCAAAGAGGAGTGGATTTAGTGGGGGTCCCAAGAACAAATGCCGACAAGGACGCTCGGCCCCCTGAAGGGAGATGGATTGTGATATTCCGCCTTGGTTAGGGAGAGAACAAAACACCCTTCATAAGGGTGTGGAAAGCCCAAAGAGGACAATATCTGCTAGCGGTGGGCTTGGGCCATTACACATGCCAACTTAAGAAGTCCGAGAAACATTTACTTTCTATTTCAAAATTATTACGCTCAAGTTCTTCTCATCCTATATTTAAGTCCCACGGATTCCATCGGAATTGATTGTCTATAGGAAGTGTTCAAAATCAACAGAAAGAAGGAATCAAATTCAAATGGAGCTCGGTGGATAGAGATACCTTTCGATTTCTTATGACTTTATTTTGAGCCTCGAGCTTTGCTCGAGACTTCCTTCTTCTAATGATTCCATGGTATTGTTTTGCATTGACATAGATCAGCCCATCTTCAGCGAGACCATGCGGTAAGGGGACTCGTGCAGGTGTACTTCCAACAACATTGGAATTTACTTGAGCTTGAGTCTGATCAGAATCATGTAATTGACATCAATCAAGGACCAGATAAGTTCAAAGGATGAGATGAAACAAGATAACTAACAACAAAAAAAACTTACATTACTAGCCATCTGACCATAGGCATTGCAGAATAGCCCTCCATATGAAGGATCTACGTATGGATATGGATACGGCACTCGAGCCTAAAATTGAGAGACAAATTAGTGTAGCAGCAAATAAGAAGCACAAATCAAATAACACTGTTTAACCTACCATTAAATGGCTGCTATCAACTTGGGGAGGATTGAACATATATTCAGGGTTGCTAAACAAAATAACTGGTTTCATCTGATTCTCTACGCTCTCGCCATAATTTTCATCTAAACCTGAATCAGAAAGACTTAATAAAGGTTAGATAACCTAAAGCCCATCCGAAACGTTGAAAACGTGTAAAAGATAAGTAGGGCAAAAAACTTTTACTGCTGCAGACATCCTTAACCAATCTAATATCGTTCGGTATCTGTATAAATAGAATAGAATGCATTTGAGGAATGCATAAAATTCGTATTCATTAGCCCTTCAGCAGTTCAGCTACTGTCAGACTCTAAGGGTGCCACAGGGGTTAAAGTTTCATGCCTTAGCAAGTCATTAGTACAGTGATAGTATTGGAGCTTCCACAGCATTTTACCTAGTCGACCATATATTCCTCTTTTCTCAATTTCTTGTTTTGTTAACCATGTCAAGGTGAGCCACACTACTACTAATCAAATAAACATTGAATGAAAAATAAATAACCCGTGGAACCCGAGGATGAAAGTACCAGACTCTGAAGAAATACATTGCTCTTGAGCATTTTGCACTTCCATAGCACGGACTTTATGAAGGGATTGACCCATTGAATAGGCTGTGGATGACTCCTGATCTCGTAACCGAAGGCCTGATTGTTCGTGGTGAGGTTGTGGGAGAGTTTCATTCTTTAGAGTTATATTATCAGACAAAGCCATTTGAATCTTCTGTTCATTTGAATTCCGCCAGGGCATAGAATCAACAGTATATGGAAACAATAAATGGACAGAGTTTTGATCAAGATTTTTCTGGGCAAAGTTCTCACGTGGAATGGCCATCATGTTTCTTCAGCGAGTCTGAAATCACGTATAAGGGCCAAACAAGGTGATAAAGCAATGTAAATGTTCTTCTCACCATACTAAGCTCAATTCAAAACACGATACACTTAAAAGTATGTCAATATGGTAAGAAAATATGTGGTACAAAACATGCACACTAGAAGATAAGGTGCTAAAGAAAGGGAAAACCAACTAACAAGTAGAATCAAAATTTAAGACAAAATGGCATTTTCACTTAATTTTCTTAATAATCTTTCAAGTACTACATAGTTTGATAAGTAATTTCATTCGAACGTAATTGTAAGCTACCAAAGTTGCTAAATTCAAATAAGAAAAACACTATAATATTGTCAACTTTACTTGTAAAGGAAAAATGAGTATACATTGGTACAAGACTACGATAGCAATCTCGTTCATCAAAGAAAAGGATCTTTTGATCAACAGCAAACATTTCACATGAAATTACAGGCAAGCAATCAAATACGAGAAACTTACCAGCATGAATATAGAATCATACACATCTTTAAGACACTCCATTATAATGCCCTACAAATTCTTCATTTGTTTGTTTCATTATTTATGGTTGATCTAACATCACCATTGTACAAATAACCAATAACATCATATGTCACTAACTTGAATAACCCGTAGTTGCAACAGGTCTAAATCTACCGTGTATCTAAAAATCAACTACATTATGGGAAAAACAAGGAGTTCCAAACCTTTAGGAGGTTTATATAATAAGCAGACAAGGGAAAGCATGAAAACAGGTAAGCTAGAGAGTGTAATAAAGCACCAATCAGCTAGTAACATTCATTAAAAATGGAGAAAGATCCACATAATAATACTTGCTGTAAATATCTGGCCATGAAAATTACTTAAAATTCAGAAGTCCATGATTCACCAAATCTTGAAAGAAAAGAGTGTTATGAATAATGGCTCTGCACGATAGTATGATATTATCCACTTTGAGCCTAAGCTCTCATGATTTTGCTTTGAGATTCCCCAAAAGGCCTCGTACCAATGAAGATATATTCATTACTTATAAATCCATGATCATTACCTAAATTATCCAACCCCATGATCATTCCCTAAATTATCCAACCCCATGATCATTCCCTAAATTATCCAACGTGGACTCCCTGCCAACTATCCTCAATAAAGAGAACACCCATAAAAGAAAAGAAAACGTTAAGACAACATCAGGCGAAGCTATGAAGTCTAGAAATGATTATCAAAGCCCCATTCAGAGTAAGAAAGGGGGAAATGCTCGATAGAAATGGAAACTGCATTAATATAAGCCAAATCCATAACCGGAACTGAGAAAGCGAAATGCTCAGTACAATTTAAGAAAACAGCAAGAGGACAAGAGTTTCATGCTTAAATCAAACAACAACATCCCTGCCATCACAAAACAAGCACCGCCCTGATCTCAAACTCCACATGCATTCAATAATGAGCAATCAACAAAGCTCCACAAAGATTCTAAACCCCAAAAATGGAGAATCCAATCCAATCCAATCCAATCCATCACAAGCAATACCGACAAGAACAAAAAGCAGCAGCAAAAACAGAGGAAATGGGGAAGACGATGAAAGAAAACAGCAGCGGTAGTAATAAAAGAAACCTGAAAAGCAGTTTGCCGAGAAGTTAAGCAGCAAAGAAGAAAGGTGTTGGGAAGTTGTGGAGCATGTCTCCTTTCACGACGACGCCCGCCACTTGGGGTTTCTTCTCTCGAGAGTCAGAAACCAGCACTCAGAGTCCGTCCGTACAGTTTTCTCACGGGTTTAAGCTGTGAAAAACGAAACTGAGGAAGGGGCGACTGAAAGACACGAGAAGCGCAATGGGAGTGGGCAGTGGGTGATTTTTCTCTCTTCACACCCACCACCACACGGGTCCTCCGATGCCTCGTATATTTGGCCCCCACTTTCACGTCCAAACGCGGCCTTACTCCATCTTCTGCCCTTATTCACTCTCGCTCCCAGCCGCCGTTAGCTGTGTAAGCTACGCCCACCCGCACTCATTTGCTTTCTCCCCCACCTTTACCTTATTTGCATGCCCCCCTACACGTTGCTTTCCCATATCCGCACGTGCTTCCCACGCTCCACCTCCCGCGTGAGCCGCATTATAATATTTGCCACTTCTGTTCGCTGTAATTTCGAAATTGCCCCTTCTTCCCACCTGTTCCCGAGATGAATAAAGTCCAGAAAACGACACCAGTTAGCTCGCTACTCCTTAATTTCCAAAATGCCACTGGAATCTCAACTCAATACACCTTATGAGATTTTTATTTTTTTTCCCTCTCTCTATATATTTTTTTAATAATAATAAATAATGCAATAATGCAATAATTCATTTTGTAAACACGTTTTGTACCAAACTTTAGAAACAATAATTAATTATTTCTTATGATAATGTTCTCTTTGAGATAATCACATTTCTTAGGGCATTTCCAACTTGAATTAGAGTAAAAAAATGTTTAACTTATAACCTAATTTTACACCCTTCAAATATTAAAAGGAAAATAATATATTGTTTAAAATTAAAAAACAAAAAAACAAAACATGAGTATAATATATATTTTTTTTTTTAAGCTAGTAATTTAGTTGGGCTGGAATGAAATGGGCTGGGCTTAAGTCTGGGCTTGGTCGTTAATTCTGAGAAGCCGAGGTTACCCAAAAGTAGAAATACAGCGGCCGCACAAGAGCAACCGGTATATAGCCGGTAGCAGGTAAGGTCGATGGGACATTGAAGACATATCATAATTGCAATTGCCCGGCAACCAACAATTTGTTTCACACTCATTTGCGCTCCTTTTCAATTCCCGCCGGAGCAACACTCTGTTTCCATTTCCGTTTTCTTCTTCTCTGTTCTAAAAATTCCTTCGAGTATTAAATATGGTTTTTACAGGGAATCACTGGTGCTTCGTCTATGCTTGGATTGAATCAGTCTGACGGCGGAAAACAGCGGCGTCTTATGTTCATCGCGTCAAAATTGAACCACAACAGTTGATCCATAATTTTAGAGGAGAAAGTAGAGATTCTAGTCTCCATCATCTTGTTCTTTTAGAAACTTGTTCGAAATTGGGGTACTGGAGAAGTGCTGCGAGAGGTGAAAATGCTGACATGCATAGCTCGTTCTAAGAAACTCGGAGATGGCTCATTGAGTCAAATTGAAGAACCGGACTCATTCAATGGACCTGGAAACAAGCAACAATCTGTCAAATCTCTGACAGGTCAGGTACTATGAGATCAAATTCTTTCTCTCCTAGTTACCAATTTCATGTTCTCGTGACAGGAATGCGGGCATTTATGTTTTACATTCCTTGCTTGTTCATTGTTTTTAGCTTAGAGACATGGCGTTAAAAGCCTCAGGATCGTACCGAACTTGCAACCCTTGCGCAGGGCCGATACCGCCGAGTCGACTCAAGAACTGCAACTCACAGCCGGACGCCGACTCGGACCGGATCAAGTGGGCTTACAAGAGGAGCGGGAGCTTAAGCTCGACGAAAACGAGGACATGGGGGAAGGAAATGGAAGCGAGGCTGAAGGGGATTTCAAGCGGAGAAGGAACCCCGAATTCAGTGAGTGGGCGCCGAGTTGACCCAGTTGTTTACGTTGAGGAAAAGGAACCAAAGGAGTGGGTGGCCCAGGTGGAACCCGGTGTGTTAATCACATTCGTTTCGCTTCCTCGTGGAGGGAATGATCTGAAACGGATACGTTTCAGGTACGCTCTATACTCATCCATATCAACGGCACAGATTTTCTTTGTTTGGGTCTATTTAATTCCTTCCCTGTTTGACTATAATCATATACCGTATTTCAGGGATTCGCCACCATCTTTTTCCACTTTTTAATTAGCAATACCAGGCCCTCTTAGTGGGTCATTTACTGGGATTTATTTTTTGGGTTTATTTGTCCTTCTGGAGTTTCTCTATCTCTTTGGTGTTAGGATGGTTAGGAAGGGCTAATTTAAGGAACCATCATTATGGTTTACAAGGAATAAACACGGTCTCAGAGATCTTTTGGGGAAGCTCAAAACAAAGTCACGAGAGCTTATGCAGCATCATTCATTCGTAATTCCTAAGATTAAAAAGGAGGAGGAAATAAAAAAATTCAGACGCGGCGTTCAAACATAGGGTGGAGTAATTTCCGTTGGAACAGCATTGGGTAGGTGGGGTCAGATTTTGATCAGTAAGGATCACGCCTTCTCATGAAAAGCAATCAAGAAAAAGTCCAAAAGTAGAACTCAATTTGATGGTGGTGGGGTAGCTTTCTTCCCAGTTTTTGTCTTTGTGTCGGGGAAGTCATCTCTTTGTTGTCAAGAATTCTTCACGCCCACCCTGATTCTCCTGGATTTGTCTTCTCCTAAATTGAGTTTCGCCACTATGCCTGGACACAAATACACCCCACATGCCACACAAAACTTACTACCTTACGAAAACGAACCAGGAGGGAGGGCGACCTTATTCTTCAATGGGGACAAGACAAGACTTGGGGAGTAATTGTGTATACTGTTGGTCTCTGCTACATGTGGGACCTCACTCCTTCTTCCACCCCAAATAAATGAATACTCTGTTGTGTGTTTCATCTGTAACCATTTGGACCCTCTGCGCATTGATTTAAACCACGTGACACCAACTAGACCATCCTATCCTATCATATTGGCTTGCTCTGTTAGCGAAATAAAGTTCGAGGGGTTTGGATCTAGTCTTCATAGCTCTTGGGTTGGGTACACAGTCAATATTGACACCTCGAGAACTACTTTATTCAAAGCATTAAAGTGTTCACATTCCCTTTTTCCCCTTTTTATTAGTTATTTTTTTACTAAAGGAAATTGGGTTCCTCTTTGAGAATTTTCATGATTAGCAGCACTTGGGTGGGTTGGGTAAAAAGTTGTTGTGAGGGATGAGAACAATATTCCTTGCTATGTTCTTATCTTGTTAGCTATGCAAGAAAACAAAAGGAGAGGTAGTTGATTTGGTTTCATCTTTCAGTAATTGATTCTCTGGTTAGTATCTCTATCTAGAGTTTGATTATTGTTTTGATAACCATCTTTGATTAGTCGGGACGTGTTCAATAAATGGCAAGCTCAGAGATGGTGGGCCGAAAACTATGATAAAGTTATGGAACTATACAATGTCCAGAGGTTCGACCGCCAAGCTTTTCCTCTTCCTACCCCACCGAGATCTGAGGATGAGGTAACCTTCAATATAATTATAGAAAGAGGATGAAGTTCTGAGTGTTAAATTTGTTTTGTTCATATTATCTATGTTGCTATATCCTATTGATGAGGCTCCCCTTTCCCCCCAAAACAACAGAGCTCAAAAATTGAATCTATAGAGAACAGCCCTGTGACACCTCCACTAACCACAGAACGCTTGCCTCGCAATCTCTACCGTCCTACCGGAGCTGGGGCGAGCTATTCATCCTCAGATTCACTTGAATATCAGCCAATGCAGTATCGCCAGTACCAAGATTCAGGTCTGACCTCTACTCCGAAACTCTCTAGCATCAGCGGTGCCAAGATGGAAACATCTTCCATTGATGCATCCATGAGAAGCAGTTCATCTAGGGATGCGGATCGTTCAGGAGAGCTATCCATCAGCAATGCTAGTGATCTTGAGTCTGAATGGGTTGAACAGGATGAACCAGGGGTTTATATTACAATCAGAGCATTGCCTGGCGGCAAAAGGGAACTCAGAAGAGTCAGATTCAGGTATGAAGATACTACATAATCTTGATTTGGAAGTAGTTAACGAACGTTGCTTTCAGAAAGTCTTCCAAACATCGACTAAATATCATGAAGTTAATATTGCCACCCAGTATATTTTTCTTGAGTATAGATCCAAAATCAATCAAAAGCCAATTATTATATATCATGGTCATTAAGATCTCTTTCTGCCTATTTATGAGGTGATATAATGCTATAGTCATAAAAGTTACTCATTCCTCTGCCCTAGATAACACTTTTAGATATCCTGTAAATCTGTTCAAATGTTCTTTGTCTTATGGGTTGCTATGGCTCTATGGTCCCTCCAGCTAGTCTTACTTTCATGCTCTTGTATGTTTGGAGATAATTTAAACTAAAGGTAGTCCTAGGCCAGGTGACCCACAGGCTTTCTAGCAGCGTTCATTATGTCGGGGAATAGCATGATTTGTTGTATTCAAGTTCATTTTCGTAAGCCAGAATTCTTATTGTCAAGTCCATTTTGAATTTTGTAGCCGGGAAAAGTTCGGGGAGATGCATGCAAAAGTGTGGTGGGAAGAGAATCGAGCCAGGATACACGAGCAATACTTGTGAGGGAAGCAGTGAAGAAAGTTGGCAAGGGGTGTTTTTTTTAAGTTTGAAAGAGGCGGTACTTCGCAAAATCTACGACCATTGCCATGCTAGTGAGAAGTCTCGCGTATAGAGATTATGATGTTTGGGGGTATACATATACATGTGAAACCAAGTCACGATATGCCGATGTTAGATTTTAATTTTTTAATAACTTTTTCGTTTTTTCCTTGCCTATGTACTGTAGTATGGTGGATGAAAAACTATAATTCCTAATGTGTTAATATCAATGGAAGAGATTCAAACGTTCGGGGATTTCCTCCCTCTCTCAATTCAAGTATGAAGTACAATCTCTGTTAGTTTTAGAAAAAATAGAAACCTTGAACCTGAACTTATTTGAATGTTTGTGGAGTGGCATGAAAGAAACAGCCTACGGGCTACGATTTAAGCAGAGGCACAAAGCATCAATCCTTTTGTATCTCCAGTGAATGAGGCTGTTCATAGAGATTGCCTGCCCAAGTTATCAATTTTGCTGCAAAATCATGGCCATGATGTGGTTAATTGAATGAGTTTGATTAAGTTTAGTGTTTTGAAACAAGGGAAAGTGAGAAAAAGGGGAAATTCCTGTTGCATTTGTAATATACAGATAATGGAGATGGAGGAAAACAGGGGAGTTACAGACATGCTACTATTCTTACAATGATTTGAGAAGGGAATGTTTTCCCATGTGAACAAAACAAATATGGATTATGTTTGGCTTCGCAGAAACTTAAAGGAGCAGCAACTGGCTGTTATGCTGTAAAGTGAAAGAAAGAAAAGAGAATTATGGGGAGGAAATGAAGGAAGAGATCATTTGGGAGACAAAAGGGAGAGTTATAATTAAGGAATCTGATGAGAAAAAATAATTGCAGGATCAGACAGACTGAAGAGTTCTTGATACGGGAATGAAGTGGACAGCAGAGCGGAGGAAGAAGAAGAGACTGTGGAGGACAAATGTTAGTGGAGACTGAGAAGTGCTTCTCAACAACCGACAACATGGAAGAACTATGAGAGAATGAGAAAGCTTTCAATATCGAAACTGGCACAAAACAGGCACGTAATGGGAACCTGTGGACTGGCAGCCTACTTTATCTTTGTCTTATATAAGTTCAAGAAAAATAGAGGACTGGAAGAACCAAATGCGCACCACTGGGTTTTTAGACCTTGGCCCGATAGCCCGCTTAAGTCCACCTAGGTGAATACTGGCCCAGTTCCAAAAATCCGTCCAAACAAGCCACTAAAAGTCTGTATTAGACAAAAAAAAAAAAAAAAAAAAAAAAAAAAAAAAAAAAAAAAAAAAAAAAAAAAAAAAAAAAAAAAAAAAAAAAAAAAAAAAAAAAAAAAAAAAAAAAAAAAAAAAAAAAAAAAAAAAAAAAAAAAAAAAAAAAAAAAAAAAAAAAAAAAAAAAAAAAAAAAAAAAAAAAAAAAAAAAAAAAAAAAAAAAAAAAAAAAAAAAAAAAAAAAAAAAAAAAAAAAAAAAAAAAAAAAAAAAAAAAAAAAAAAAAAAAAAAAAAAAAAAAAAAAAAAAAAAAAAAAAAAAAAAAAAAAAAAAAAAAAAAAAAAAAAAAAAAAAAAAAAAAAAAAAAAAAAAAAAAAAAAAAAAAAAAAAAAAAAAAAAAAAAAAAAAAAAAAAAAAATTCTGTAACAACCCAAAGTCTAAGTCCAAGTCCACTATTAATGGATATTGTCTTTTTCGGGCTTTCCCTTCAAGACTTTAAAAGACATCAGCTAGGAAAAAGTGTTTCGTTCTCCTTCCCAACCAACGTGGGATATCACAATTTCCCTACTCTGCTCTGCTGAATTGAGAGCGTGTCTATGGCCTCATCTAACCCATATTGGCTCCACATCACTTCATTATTTAATGAAAGTGATGTCACTTTCTCCTAGTCTACACACTTATCTAATAGCGAACAATAAATAATAAGCAAATTTGAATGTACCTCATGCTCTTTGGATTCATTGAAGCCAGTAATGTACTGCAGTTTTCCATAACCAGCACAGCTATAGAAGTAGCCGCAACCCTACAGAACAAGCATGAAACTTGAGCCAATCTTCAAATTCCTGTGTTAAATGGGCATAGAACACAAGTTAAACGAAATTTTAGTCCACAAATCCTAATTAACTAACAAGTTAATGCTGAATGTAAAGTATACCACAATGCTTTTGAGAAAAATATAACAATAAGAGTAGGATATTGCGGCAACGTCTTGCAAACCAATTCCTGGAAGGTGATTGGACCAACAAGATAATCTTATCGTCAATTTCAAGTGCAAAACTTGCCACATGGGACAGAGGCACAGAAACTAAGTCCACATGATATCTTAAATTTGGACCGCTAACTCTTTCAACCTTCCACCACCTCTATCTATCCTCACTTTATTTCCTCAAATCAATTCAGGAAGAGACCTAAATAAAAGCTGCTTCAATCCAGCTTGAAAGAGAAGGCAAGAGAGAATCAGATGGCTTCAACTTCCGCAGTTTCAATGGCTATGCCAATTACTAATGCGACCCAGAAGAGAGTGAGGAGCACCGAGGCCTTCGCTAAGGCATTGCCTTTGAGGCCTTCCAACAAGCCAATTGCTGCATCAAAATCCAGCAGCGCCAAGTTCCAAGTGCAGGCTTCTTTGAAGGAGAAGGCAATTGCTGGACTGGCTGCAACTGCACTGACGGCCTCCATGGTGCTTCCTGAGGTGGCTGAAGCTGCAGGAGCTGGAGTTACTCCTTCTCTCAAGAATTTCTTGCTCAGTATTGCCGCCGGTGGAGTAGTTGTCACTGCTATCTTGGGTGCAATTATCGGTGTCTCCAATTTTGACCCCGTAAAGCGGACCTGAGTCTCGGAGGATGACCTTCGACCAATTATATTATCATTTTCCATTCTTCGTCCCTCATGTTCCATTGTCTGTAGTGGTTGTTTCTGTGTTATGTGTGTAATATGCGGCTCCTGCTGTAAATTCACCACAAACTATATAACATATTGAATCTAAAGTTTCCATTTGCTCAAAAGAATTTGTTTTAACCGGAAATGTAGACCACTTTTGCTTTATCTTCTTGATGTGCCCGAAGCCCACCACGGCATTCAACCTACAATGCCATACTGAACATAGTTTCCCATCACTCAACAATATGTCAGTAACCTGGCTATAGCCTAACCATTCTTGACAAACTGAAGCTATAAATTTTGTACACTTTTCACATCAAAGGATCAATATGCCATACTACCATATTTTTCACCGCTAGCAGATATTGTCTTTTTTGGGCTTTTCCTTTCGGGCTTCTCCTCAAGGCGTCGGCTAGGAAAAGGTTTCCACACCCTTATAAATGATGTTTCGTTCTCCTCCTCAACCAAGGTAGGATATCACAATCCCAATACTCCTCATTATCATTAATTTTGAGCCTGGACAGAAATTGATCAAAAATTTTACTTCTGATCATTTCACCAAACTCGATAACGTCCTGCTCTTCATACTTCAACATGTACAACTCCTTGGCTGAAACACCTAGAATCTCTTCACCAGACTCCTGGAAGGCTGTCACCCATGTCAAACCAGTATGGTCTTGGATTTGGGCATGAAGAAGATATCTGTAATCACAACTCCTCTACACTCTTGCCAGATGCATCCTTCAAATTATTAACTCTTCTTTGAATTTCCATACCATTTTTCCTCAACACAGGAATTGATGGATTGGTAGATGTTATAATACCAATAGCATCCAGAATAGAGTTGGTTTCAGCACTCTCAATTTCACAGATAAGTCTGAAAGAAAACTGTTGTCTTGGACATTTTACAAGTAAACTTGGTTTATAAAGCAACGTCGGAATGGAATGGGAATCTAGATACTATAATTAACATGATCACGAGGGCATATCCCATAAAGCAGCACTATTTATACAGCTAACAACGGGACTTTTTCTCATGATGTGTACATGAACACAGATTTTTAACAGATTGCCACTAAACTCAAACCAAACAGTACAAAGGAAGTCAGTGATTAAGATTTAATAACCTTAGTCGGTAATTAATGCATTCATCTAGCATTTCAAACAAGAACGTAAACTGACAATAAAACCTTTTTCCACATGATGTGATCATATACGCAGATTTTAACAAGACAAAATAAGAGAACAACCATCCGTCGGCACTAACGGCATCGGAGATCAAGAGGCTGTACCTCTCCTGCGCGTTACCGATCATCTTGACATCTAGGATCTGTGCACCAGAAGCTTGAAATTAACGTCACCAGCGACAATTGCAGGAATCGCATTCGGTGGGGTGAAAATGCGACAGCAGGGGAGCTCGAGAGTGAATCGTGAAACGAAAGTAGAAGATCACCAAGAACCTAATGAAAACCGTAGGAAAATGGAAGAGGAAGCAAGATTTAGAAGCATTGCGAATGAATAGGGATAGCGATTAGGCATTGATGATGGAAATGAAGCGTAATTACAGAAAAAAATCGGAGTCTCTTGCCGATAATAGAAAGATGATAATCCACTCTCTTTCGTCGGAACCCTTCAGATTCCGGCGAGATGTGAGTTTATATATACGCGCGGGGATCTGATGGCGGCTTCTCGTTGATGTAATAAAATTATTGCAATTTTCATTAAAATAATAAAATCACGTTTTAATCTTTCAACTTCCGTTTATTCACAATTATCTTTTTCAGTAAATAATTCAAAATTTTGTAATTAGAATTCGTATTTTGATGGTAGCATGAAAATAAAAGAAAATAAAAACTTATAAATTAAAATCAAACAGGAGTCCAAAATAAATAATGATTAAGCAAAAAAAAATGTTACAAACTGTTGTTCACATGCATTATGTTTGATTATCAAAAAGAAGGCTCAAACCAAGAGAGATGAATATATCTAGATGAGAAGAAGCCTCTCTCAAGCTGCTACCACTACTTCTGGAACAACCTCAATATCAGCGCTCAAAACTGGTGGTGCTGCTGCTGCTGGTCTATGCACGATTTCTTCTTCCTCCTTGGGGGAATGGATTACCACAACATCAGGAAGAGGGGTGGTAGGGCCTTGCTTTCCCTTAGGATCCCAATCAAGCATGATCTTAACCTTGATCCCCAGAACTCCCTGAGACACCCAAAAACACACAATTAACATTATACTTCATCATATATAAACACACTCCCTGCTAGATTTATTATTATGAACTTGACTCGAACCTAACCTGTCTGAGAAGAACGTGTCTAACAGCTGAGTCGATATAATCTCTCACTGGTTGACCAGATGAAATCATATATCCATCTTTGAACTTCATAGACTTTGCACGCTGTGCCCTCAGTTTTCCACTAACAATCACCTGTGTGAATGTTAAGAATTAACGTGTCGACATTCCCGTATAAATTTTTTTCATATAGCGATAATAATAGATTGAGCTACAAGCTAACCTCGCATCCCTTTGCTCCACTTTCCATAACGAATCTCAAGACACCATAGCATGCCCTGATGGAAAAAGTACATACGTCAGCATGGGTCATATTATATTATGTATTCATCTTGATACTCTCACTTATAATAGCTCAGTCAAAAGATCAATAAAATGGCCCCATAGGCTCAAAAAATGAACTTTGAACTTGTTAAAACTATTAATAAAAGGGAACTTCGTAGGAAAGCTCCAGCCTTAAGGAAAGGACAAGCACATCCACAAGAACGCACAAACCACAAAGTTCATGTATCAAATTAAATAATAAGAAAAAAAACAATATGGATTTGCCCATTCTTCAAAGCTATAAAGTTTCCATGTGTATATGCTAATATATTACTAACTGCACTAACTCAGCATATTATTAATATTACTATCGAGATTCATAGTATGGAAGAAAAAAGTTCAAGGAAAAAGTTGACATACTAATGAAAACTTTGTTTTCACACAAGGCTGACTCAAGGCTACAAGTCAATTTCAAAAATAATTGAAGCCTGGACACAGTAGCATGTCAACATCTGGTAAGGCAGGACGTTAGCATTTTGGGCACATTTTTTCTGATGATTGTGTATACATTGATCTATTCAATACTTGAATACTTGAAAACGTGCAAATTCAACACCAAAAAAAAAAAAAAAAAAAGAGCTAGGCTAAATAAACCAAGTGTACATCACGTCACAATTTCTTTCTGCCTGTCAGATGGGGGTTTATGGTTGGGTTAAATTTTAGGTTTGGTCAGAATAAGATAAGCAATGGATTGGGAAATAAGCATAATAATGAGCTAGGCTAAATGTTTGTTCCCTCGTAATTATTTCAAGGAAGCAGAAAGACCCCTCCCAACTTTCCTAAAGATTCTATTATTCATCTCCCCTAAAGACCCCACAACACCGCACACACTCTAGCTTGCCACAAAAATTCCCAAGGAAGACATGTTTGCATGTCCAATGTCTAAAATTAAAGATAAAAATTAAAAGAAGGGACTTCTTTTCAATAGTTTGGATTGTCCCCTATTGGAAGCTCTGTCAAACGAAGTGCCCATGCTTCCTAGCTACTAATGATATTAAAAATAACCTTGTATGATATGTATTTAAGAAAGTGATAATTGATAGGTCTGATTTGTATGTACTTTCGTAAAAAACATTGTGCATTATATACATGATTGTATGTTTTTATGATTTGCATAGTTTACATTAAATAAAATTGAGGCTTACTCTTACTCTTCATCCATCGAAAACATTATAATAAGAAGAGACAGAAAAATCACAATTTGCAGAGAAAGAAGCCTAAAGATACCACCAAGCAGCAGCATGTCTCCTCCCTATGATTTCAGTGTGAAACAAAACGATTCCACAATAATTATCAAATGGAAGAGCTCAATTTATATTGTCACCATCCGACACAAAGTTGGCACCAAAATACCAATCTGCTTTGTAGATGACATACATAAGAACCCAGGAAAAAAAAAACAAGTCTTATGAAACTACAAGTCATATCTTAAATGTGATTATAGAATGATCAAAATACTACAGCTCGCAAGAAAATAAGGAATCAGTGATCTTTTTATTCTAACATTATCATAAAACATAGATCCATTTCTATGCCAAATCAATAACACACCAATAATAATAATGCTTCTAATAATTATGGGATAGAAAACAAAAAAGTACCTCCGCACTGCAAGGCCACCAAGTAGCTTGTAGCGAAGAGACTCAGCTTGGGCAATGGCACAAAGCCCTCTGTTGTTAACTTTCTCGGCGTAAAGCTCAACACTGTTCTCCGGAAACTTGAACCGCTTCTGCACAACCGAGGTGAGTTCCCTAATCCTCCTACCCTTTTCTCCTATTCAACACCAAATAAAATTTTCGAAGAAAATCACTAACGCGATATCGATGAGTGCTAATCTAAGACGTTTAATCCAATGAGGGAAGAAGGAAGTCTGTTTAATAAACTGAATTTCAAAATCAAAGTAAACTGACCGAGAACGTTTTGAGTGCGGGTGGCCCGGATGATGATCTCAGTGCGCATAGGAGTAACTCTAACCTCGACACCGGAGTATCCATCCTCAGCCAACTCTCTAGTCAAAACCTCGTTTAGCTCGGCAAAAAACACTCCATCGGCAACGAACTGAAACAAAATCGAAAACAAACCATAATCAACTCAAAACATTACAGAACAGAACAATTGTTGTAGAGATGGCGGGGAAATAAGTATAGATTAAGAAATCTCAAGGACTGACCTTTCTTTTCTTACTCATCTGGGTCGCCATTTTCAAAGAGAGATTGGAAAAAGAGATATAAATCCGCTCTTAAAAGATCGACGTTGTGAGAAGAGAAGGCTCTGTTCTTCGCGCGTTCCAGAGGTAAAAACGCTGCCGCCGCAGATTGAAATTTATACGGCTGATTCGGATCTAGGGCTTCCAAAATGAACGGTCGAGATTGGTTCTACGATTTCAGCACAAATAAACGCATCCTTGGTCTTGTACACAGCCCAACTATTAGGCCAACAGACCCATTAACGGCCATCGAAATCCAATAGGCCCAAATTTGCGCAATCGCATATTTATATTCCAAAATTGCCCTTTAATCTATCTCAGTTAAAATATTAAAATTTGGAGGTAACCAATAATTTATACATTTTTTAAAAATGAGAATATTTATTATTATTATTATTTGTACTTTAAGTGAGAATAATTATTGGAATAGATGATTAATTAATTATTAATTAGAACTAATTAAAACTAAAATTTTAATTTATTTATTTACTTATTTTGTATATCTATGAAATTATGAGTTTGTGATTAAAAAAAATGGTAAAAGAGTATGATCATAATAATGTCAAATTGTTATCTTTGTTTGAATAAAAGTTAAAAGTGGAAAAAGATGATAAATAAATAAATAAATAAATAAGAAGGTGAGGATAAGCATGGAGAAGCTGCGTTCCAAATCAAAGCTAAAAGTGAGAGTAGCTTTGGGTCCCCTCCTCTGTCGTGTTGTTGGGTGTCACTGTTTTACTTATAAGTCTCTTTCAATTTAAATTAATAATTATTATTTATTACAAATATATATATATATATTATTTATAAAATATCTAGAAAAATGAACCAATAGATCGGGTAGGATTCCTGATAAATTCTTTCCTATCAAAATCAAGAATTAGGAGTTAAATAGCTAAACTGCTCCAGGACTACTTATGAAAATTAGTAAATGTTAAATGACCAAAATGCCCCCAAGACTACTTATAAAAATTCGAAGTCTATACACTCTCATGCATAAAAACTTACTCCTAATAATTTAAACTAATTCTAATTATGCATAAAAAAAAAACTTACCCCCAATAATTTAAATTTACCTAATTATAAATAGAAACTTACTCCTTAATAATTTAAGGGGAGGAAATGTAGTCATACTTACTTTGAACGCTTTCTAAAAATTGAAAGTACGATGAAAGAGTCCGAGCGAATCAGCCAAAATTTTAGTCTTGAGCCATCAAAAAGTGCAAGTGCATTCTCTTACTAGCTCGAAGATGATTATACATCTACTTCCCACGTTCTGTGAATAATTAGCTCAAAGATGATTATTCATATGCTTCTCAGGTGAACAGCGGAGGAGGAATATCTAAATAAAACATTTAGGGAGGAATATCTAGAAAACCATCTAGAACACCGACATCGATTGTATTGTTGCGGTGGGTGTGGAGGAGAAAAGACCCTCCAAAGCTGCCATGATTCATTGAACCCTTTATGCTTTGGGGCTTTTGGACAGCATCTTGATTATTTATTTTTCTATTTTATTCATAGGAGAGCACCAAAAGGAGGTGTGTGTTCATGGGAGAGCACCCAATGGAGTACCTGCACACTCCCCTTCCTCCACACAAATTCATTTTAAAAATAGAATGAAAAACAAAAGACAGATCACCTCTCACTCACGCCAACAAAAATCCAAAATCTAAATTCAAATTACATCCTACACTCGGACACAAAATCTCCGAAATTATTGTTGTAACCAGAGAATGAGACTACTATTATGGCTGCTAGGGCGGAGGACGGTTGCGCTTGTGGCCAGGCTTGGCGGCGGCGGCGGAGGAGGAGGAGTCTCCTTCCGACGAAAGCTCCATGGATTTGGTGAAGGAAGTGGAGAGATGTGCGTATAAATCCACGACTCTCCTTATGTTGTTGTGGAGCTCGCGAATCAAACCCACGTTTCTGGTGAGATTATGAGGCATTTTGGACTCCTGATTTCGGTTAATTTGGTTGATTAGGACTCTGTTTTGGTCCAAAATGGTCTGAACTTGAACGAAGTTCTTCTGAAATGTCTGCACCATTTTCCCCTCAATTTGGCTTCCATTTCCCACGCCTCCTCCTGATGACACCGTCTCCCCTTCCATTACTACACTTCAACCCAAAACCTTCGCACTGATATGATACTGGTTTGATCATGAGCTCGGCTTTGTTTTGAGCTTTCCAACACATATACACTCCCAAAATTAGCCAATCTAAGAGGGTGTAAAAAAAGAATAATAATAATTATTTGATAATTAGATGCAGAAAGAAAAGGCAGATCCCACTCTCAATTCTATAAAAAGGAACCTTTTTTAATGTACTCAGACAATACCCACATAGAATCTCTTCAGAACACTCAAAAACCAGCCATTACTCATTTATTTTGTATTAATTCAAATTAATTACAGGAAAAAGAAAAGAATAGAAAATGGGTGGTGTTGGTGGTACCGTGAAAATCTGGAACATTATGTTGAGGAAGAGGAAGTCTGATTCCCGAGGAGAAGTGGAAAAGGTCGGCGATTGAATCGAATCTCCGACGTCTTCTGGGAAATCTAGAGAGATGATGAAACAACAAAAAAAAAAGAAATTAATTAAAATGGAGAGAGAGAATAGATATGAGGCATTTTGGTAATGGTTTTGCTGAATACATCTCTATGGATCAAAGAAGATCAAAGAAAGAAAGGGAGGGCAGAGAGAGTCTGAGTCTGAGCGGCAGAGCACGAAGCAGCAGAGTGGTGTGGTGGTCCATTGGGGGCCCTCTCCCATTAAGATTAATGTTATTATTATGATCATTACATTACAAGACAACAGACATAGAAGCTTGAACGAAGCTCAGAACACAGAACTCAGAACACAGAACACAGATGGATGCCAGGATGCTTGCTGCTTACCTTAGGCATTCATGGCCTAACTAATTATACAGTGAAGAGGAAGGGAACACAGCAATCGAAGCGCGCATACTTTGGACCCTTATTATGGAACAAGCCTGCACCATCCACTGTTGTGTTCAACTTCCACACACATCCAAACAAATCCACCTCATGGGAACAGTACCAAAGTACATTTTTGGACACATCAATCAGAACCCCCCAGCTGGGTGGGTGGTCAAACAAAATCAAATAAACAAACAAACTAACTTATTTGTAATGCATTTTGGTAGCAGCTGGGTGGGTCATGGATTTTGGTTATGCTAGTTGTTGGAAATGAACTCATGCTGCGAGGAGTTAGGAATAGAGATCGAAAGCCGAGCTGTATTCAAATCAACCCACGATTCTGTGTCTTTTGGAGACCATTCATCAAGGAAGTGATGCATACCCTTCTCTGGTACCTTATACGATAGTCACCACCTTGTAAAGGCGAGCAGTTCTTATGTCTGAAGGATGAGGAAGAGCAGCTCATTGTTAGAGGACTCAGCTGCCAGGAATCTTCCATATTCGAATCAGAGAAGCCTCTCATGTCCCCAGCGCGTTCTTCTGATAGAAAGCGATGCTCATCAACGACATCTTCCTTCACCCCGTAACCATACCTGTTTCTTCTTCACAGTCACAAGAAAAGGGTAAAACCATCAGCCTAACCTCCAAATAAATCTCAGAAACAAAATGTAACCGCTCATGTCCACCGCTAGCAGATATTGTCTTTGTTGGGCTTTCCTTTCGGACTTCCCCTCAAGGCTTTAAAACGCGTCTGCTAGGGAGTTTTGGGGATACAAACCTGTAATCTGGGTCAAGAATCAAGGAAGTGATGGAGTTTTGGGGGCGTAGAAGAAGAGCCATGTTGGTAGAGAAAAGGGTGGAGTGTTGGGGATGAGTTTGAGAGGGGAGAGTGGAGTTGTGGGTGATGGAAGAAATGGCCCGGGAATGAGTTGTTGTTTTCAAAACTTCCACAGGCTTTCTTGAACGCTTTTTACCTCGGTGCATATGTCTCTCACAATACTTAGAATCCGGGAATGCCTCTTTGGAGCACCGCCATTTTTTGCCGCTGAGCTGCAGTGAATGGAAACCTGTTTCTTCCTCCGCTCATTGCCTCCGAGTGAGGAGGAGGAAGAAGAAGAAGAAATAGGTATATTTATTTATTTGAGAGGGAGAAGAGTCTTGTGTGCATGTGTTTAAAACTAATGGTTCTGATTATAATGCCCGAGGGATGCTGAGTGTCACGGTTTTAACTTTTTGACCGTGCGGCGTCGTGATCTATACACGCTCACGACTAGCCTTAAGGGGAATTAAGCCTCATATGTATTTTTCGCCCCGGTTTTGTGGCTTCGTCGGACCTTAAGCGAGTTTTGTCTTCGCCAATCGAACATCGTTTGTGCGGAATCCAAGCTTGTTCAACCACATACGCCGCCTGTGCGTGTATGTTCAATCATTTGCGACACATCCGACTTGCCTCTATGCTAGGCCAACTCATTCGGCTCGACCTTGCCTCTACTCGGGCCAAGGTCTCTCAATATAACGTCGCATCTCATCTTGTCATCTCGATCCCCATCGATAGGGTCCATATGTCTTGACGCCATCCCGAGTCTCGAGATGTCGTCAGCCATCATAACTCATTCGGTCATGCCATCGAGAATGGGCCCGTGTGTCGTTCATCTCATCGGGACTTCCGGAACATCCATCCATCCGGGTTCTATCGAGACATAGGCCCTCCCGTGCCCATGCCGAGTCATTTACGGTTACCGTACCGAATAGCGGGTGTATATAGCAACCTCCAACACGCGGGCTAGGGCGCCATATCGGCACACCCATGTCGTTCGGTACTGTCCTTCAAAAATCCATTTCAAAGGAAGTCGCTCGAGAGACTCGTCTCGGCACGCTCGCCCACACTGTAACACACGTATGTGCCACAGGGTAGCTCATTTAGGCCACAGGGCTCATAGGTGGGGGAGAACTAACACCATGCTACCCTACAGTACATTTTGAGCCATTTTCATTTTACCAGTGTAGACATGATTTTGGCCTATAGTACATTTTGAGTCATTTTCGTTCTACCCGGTGTAGACATGATTTTGGTGAAGTGTCATACGGTGTCGTGCATTGTCCGTCCAATGTCCGATTGACACCAAACTTGGCGAGCATTCATATTTCATATGGACAGACTTAAGTCTCGAACCGCATACCCAAATTCCTTCTGAAACCCCGACTTTTGAGGTTAAGGCCCGAGGCCCTACCCGACCCTTCAACAAGCCTATCTTGTCCTTCATGTCTATGCTGATGTGATAAGATAAGGAACCACTACAAGGGGAGTAAGATTCGTATTACCTTGTTGATCGAATATCTTAAGGCAAGAACATTGTTTGAGATTCGAATCACTCAACAAGCAAGATTGATTATGTCTAGCTTGAATGATTCTGGTTGATCAAGTATCTAAAATACTTGTTAGAGATTCGAATCACTCCACAAGCAAGATTGATCATGTCGAGCTTGAATGATTCTACATGCACCTAAACTACGTAGAATTGCAAATAAACTTAGTCATTGGCTGAAGAGAGCACAAATGCATCTTTTACTATATATATTTTCCAAGTCTCTTACAAATAAACATACCTGGCTTTATGTAGCCTCAAAATAAAACTATTAAAGGCATTCCACCAAGAGTTGTAACATAATAAAACTATTAAAGGCATTCCACCAAGAGTTGTAACATTTATACTTAAGGGTCATAATTAACCATTATGTAATTGTAACCTAAAGTAAAAAAAAGTCTTAAAATACATTAATGAAATTCAATAACTCTAAATTGCAATCCACCCAAATGAAACTTCATTCTTCTTTCGATGTGGCATGAATTGAAATATCTTTTGATAATTTCAACAGTATTTTCTTCACATCTTCATTGAAACATATTGTATGATTGGTGTCTCTTGGTTTATATTATGATGTCTCTGTTATGCTTATGTCTCAACATGTCTTCAATGCCCACTTTGCGGGGTGGTGTGTTGGATGATGCATCGTCCTTCTCGATCGCACCATGACATTCTTCTATGTTGGCCCACATATGGCCGGATGGGTGTCTCTTGAGAGGCGCCCCTTTGCTTGTCATGGCGTGAGGGTCACAACCTACTCACTTCATACTATGGTTGTGACATTCAACTCCATTTAGATTAGTCATCTATGACTTACTCTGAATCACAATCATATTACAGATTAGGACCCTCAGCACACCTCACACCTCTCTGTGTGTGTTCATATTATGACTGCAACTCTGGGCATCTTCTGGTTCTGCCTGCCTCCATGCCAGCCCTTGTCTCTGACATCTCTACGGAAATCCATAAAATAATAAAACAAAAGGAAAGGAAAGGAAATTTAAAAGTAAGCATCAGAGAGAGAGAGAGAGTAAAAGAGTTGAAGTTTGAAGCTAAATACGTACTGCAGCTATCAACTCTTTTTACCTTTTCTGTTGATTTACCCCACAGCAGAGCTGCTTCAGACTATATCCCACTGCCCTTCCACTTATTCATACATACATATGCTTCACTGTCTCTTTTCTGTTCATTTTCCAGTCAAACAGGTTACGGCTTACCGTTACCAGATATTATTCTCTTTAGGTTTTCCCTTTCGGGTGGACCCTCAAGGTTTTAAAATATGTATGTTAGGGAGAGGTTTTCACGCCTTTATAAAAGGTGTTTCATTCTCCTCCATAACAGGTGGGATATCATTAGTCTTTACTGCTGGGTTGTCATGACAATCCTCAAAAAAAAGCTCAAGAAAAATGGGTGATAAATATCATTCTTGCTCTTTCACTATCTGACTTATAGATTTCTTGAAGGGCTAAACTATAAATAAAGCCACAATGTTGTAGAAATGTCTGGGAAACAAAGAAACCCAAGAGGAGTATGAGGAAAATTGGAACTTATGGATTGAAGAAAATAAAAAAGCATAATTTCGAGTAGTATATAATAAATTATTATACATGAATGAACTTGCGTTCATGTGGCAGCGGGGATCATTCCTTCTGGAAGAAAGAGAGAACGAGGTCCGTATGTACAGAGAAAAACTGTGTCTCCACAAAAACCTGCTCACCACAATACAAAATGAAGTCTTTTCTTACATCATCCTCTTCCTTTAAAATATACAAACATCAAAAAGAGATGATTACCTTCAAAAATGGCCGATCGTGACTTGGGAACGACTCGATGAAGCTCTCCTTCAAGAGTAAGGATACCTAACAGAACAAACAAAACAATTAGAGCTATTAGTCAACCTTGTAAGCAACCACTTCGAAAATGATTACGAGCAAACCTTATCATCGTTCGATTGTACATTAGTAATTGTATGTGAACGGAGGTTAGAGCAGAGAGAGTCCAAGTACAATCTTAGCACTTTGAGGAAACCCTTGGCAGCTTCAACCTATAAGCGCAATAAACACAACTTTTCAAAACAGATGATTGGGAATACCAATTAAGAAGAAGGAAGAAAGAAAAAACCTGGACATCAGTGCATTCATGCACAGGCCTCTTTCTTCCTAAATAACTCTCTCCAACTAGCTCTGCATGATATGGTCTTAACGATGCGAATAACTCCTTTTGTTTTGGCAGCTCTGGTATTGTCAGGGCCTTCACCTATCATGTTCAATATGTTAGGATCGCATAACAACGCACACACTTGATCAAGTTGAACACAAAGAATAGAAGAGAGAAAATTTGAGGAGGAATATTGGCTAAAAGTTTTATTGATGGCTTTAAGTATGTACAAGACAATATTAGTTAAAAGTTTTAATCTACCAAATATATCTCTACCAGGTCCTTTACTATAAATAGGCATCAAGCTTCATATCCAACACAATATTCATGCCAATCAAATACCTTAATTAATGCAAAATTAAATTGTATGAACATCAAATTTCTACCTGGTTCTTGTTCACATCAACCAAAATTGCATTGGTTAACTTTGACTGTACTTCACTGGTTCTACTCTTCACACCAACCTACTTGGAAGTTCTCGTAAGTAATCGATTAGAAACGTTAAAAGAAATAGCTGCAAATAAAATACTTACAATGTAAGGAACAGGGGCATCCAAAAAGTCCAGCATGTCATTTGGCAACACCTGAATGTTTATGTTTATGAACAAACACAAATATCCTCCAAAACAAGACATAACTATCAGAGATCAGAAATCATACTGGCATCAGCAAGCTTTGCCACTGGTAGGGACGAATCATAGGGATAATCGATAAAACTGAAGCTGATAGGATGCCCTGCAGGTTGTATATGAAATACTTAACAAACGAGACGTCCAATCAACAGCCAAACATGGTGTAAGAAAAATCGTGTACCAAATTAGAACAGACAATCACAATCTGCTTCTCCAGCAGTGCTCCAGCTAAAATGGATAAGATCTGTGGAAAAACAAATCAATTGAGTTTCAAAAGGTTTAGTTCTAAGGTGGGCATATACTTACATGGTCTAGGCGTAAAGAACCACAAATGCTTGCAACAGTCCATATTGACAAGGCATTTGCTTCCTCCTCTACCATGAGAGCACCTTGTGCCTGAGACATCAACAAGATGCATGCTAATTTGAGGAATCAAAAGCTAATCCTAAATATTATTACTAAAATTACCTCAGCTAATTCAAGACTTGTACTACATGATCTTGGATCAATGGTTGAGCCAGCAACATGCAGAACTGTTTCACCTGATCTATGATATTCCATGGGATGCAGGTGCTCCAAAGGATGAAACTTAACAGAACATCCCCTACCAGGGTAATGCAACTCGTAATACTCGCATATGATTTGTAACGATCCTTTCTTATTTTTCTGTAAATACGGAAAAAAAAAATTGAAGATAATAGCAAGAGAGCGACGTACAAAAGCACAATTTTGAAATCTACAGAACCTTGGCACTTTCAAGAATATCAAGTAGGTCAGTGGAATCATCCTGGCCGGAGAAAGATGCTTCCTCTGTCTCTGTGTCATCAGCATCACTCCTGAAGTTTCTGTCTTCACTTGGAGACCCCTGAAAACTACAAAATACAAATTCAAAGTTCAAAATGAGTTTACAATCAGTGATTAGTACACACACAAGTAAATAACTAGTTTACAATCATATACCTCGAGGACGATTCAGAGCTTTCGTATTGATAATAACGGAGGAGAGGTAGAACAGCATTTGGTAAACGCCTATCAGTTGCCTGCTTGTTTCTTGTAAAATCATCAACATTGATATCACGAGTTTCCTTATGAACAACATCGATATCCTCACTAATGCCCTTTGATATTTGATGATCTTGATGATTTTCATCTCCCATCGTTCTTTGTGAATCTTCCTCTTTTCCCTCAGACATGTCTTCAGCTGCATTCTGATCCAAGGTCATGCAACCTATGTCTTCTACCAAATCTTCTTCAATGCTCAAATTCTCTGTGAATTCCAAATTCAAAACACCAATACCTTTTGTTAATCTTTCCAGCCTTTCTTCAGTGAGGATGCTACAGGAAAGTTCATAAAAATGAAAGGTTAGAAAATTGAGATAAAAAAGTAATATGAGGAAATAGGATTCCAAATTAATATATTTACATGTATACCTATTCAACACACCAAAATGTAATTCGAAGAATGGTAAGCGAGATAGGATGCAATAGCATCTGCGTGTGGTTAGTACGTAACGACTCAAGGATGAGTAGGATAGTGCTTTTTCAGAAACAGAAAGCAACCCAGATGGTTTCTGCACTAATTCTTCAACTAAAACACAGCATCCATACAATGTCGAATCATCAGCAACCTGCAAAAGCATAGTTAGCAAATGAGTGCAAATTGTGGCCTGTACTTTAGGGGTCCTAAATTCATTCTAGTACCTGTAAGCGGAATACAAATGAGAGGTCACTTTGTTTGAAGTGTTCCTGCAAATTTAACATACCGATTGAGTCAAGTTACAAATAGATTGAAGATTTTCTTAGATTTAGATCTTATTCGAACACTAGAGGACTAATGGTATTACCAATGATGGAAACAAGGCAGTGTTCTTAAAGTATCCTAAAAACTAAGTTCCAATGCGTTTTCCAAAAAGAATACCTGCCCGAGAAGAATCTCGTTCAACTCACTCATGGAAGGAGTTTTTTCAACAGCGTGAACCTGTAGTCACATAATCAAATCTTAGGAAAGAAAGACGGTGATCCAAGACTGTAAAGAAGCATTAATGTACCAGAGGGTAAGTAATAGTGAACAAAACATTCTTTATAAGGGTGTGGAAACCTCTATCTAGTAGACGCATTTTAAAAACCTTGAGGAAAAGCTCAAAGACGATAATATCTGCTAGCGATGGGTTTTGGCCGTTACAAATGATATCAGAGCCAGATACTGAACAATGTGCCAGCAAGGAGCCTGAGCCCTGAAGGGAGGTGGACACGAGGCAGTGTGCCAGCAAGGACGCTAGGCTCCGAAGGGGGGTGGACACGAAGCGGTGTGCCAGCAAGGATGCTGGGCTCCAAAGGGGGTGCCATAATATCCCATTGTCCTAAAAAGAATGTGACTAATATATGAGAAAAGTAGGAATGAACAACCAACCTCCACACCTCCTGGAAAGCAGAATGAAAGAAGGTCCTTGTCTTTGAGCGGCAACTGCTTCTCTGGAGGGTACACAAATAGGACCTGACATGAACTCACAATTAATAATTCAAGAACCTATTGATTTGAAGGACTAAGTTCGATTGAGAATGAGAATAAAACCCACCTGTGGTTCAATATGAGCTTCTGACTTCCTTGCAACATATTGCTCCTGAAGTGCCTGAATATCACAATTAGGATGAAGGCCAACAACAACCATGCTCTCAAATATCCTACTTGGCTCCTTCTGAGATCGATGGTCCTAAAATTTTGCATACAAAGAAGTTCCAGTATATAAACAATGACAAACAATCAAAATTGAGTAGAATGAAAAGGCTAACCAAGTAGTGCAACTGAAAGTTCGCCCACTGACGCTTTTGGGTTGTGAGAAGTTCAGGATTATAGGTTCCTGGAGTTTTGAGTTGAGGAGGACTTGAAAAGCCTTGAAGCACTTTATTAACTTGACGCTGCAGTCTCTGTAGTGGACTGCCGCCCTCATCGGTTGCAACATCTTCGGTCGTCTGCAGGAAAAGTGAAGCGCCCCAACCAGGGCTCCCCGTCGCTTCCTTCTTATCCATCACTGAAACCCAAATATGCAACAATCACAGGGCTCTGCACAACACCGATCGGGTTATTTTAGTTAAGAAAACAAAGCTTTTGTTGATGCAAACCCAGAAGCTACAAAACCAAGATATCCCTTGTATTGCACCGAATGGACTGAAAAGGTGTCACAAACAGAACCGTCTGACTCAAATCTTAACAAATAATCTTCCGAAATGAATAGGCCGAAACATTTATTTGAAATTCAAAAGGGAAGATTCTTCGATCGTTGTAAAAGAAAAATTAGCACGAAAAGCAGAACTCAAACACAACCTCAGATGGCGGAAGATCAACATAGACGAAAGAAGAAAAAAGAAAACGAACCTTTGACGAATCCTGAGTGAATAATTGAGGAGGGAAATTGTTCCGATGCTGTGCGCCACCGAGCGGTCCGAAAAAGGAGGGAAAGGCAGCGACAGATGGCGGAGGAGGGAGGGGGAACGGAAATTGGGAATAATAATAATAACAACAACAATAATTGTATTAATTAGCCGAAAAGGGGAGGAACAGCAATTAAAGTTCTTCCACTTCCCCTACAAGTATCAAGTATGAAGAAGAATAAAAGAAAAGAAAAGGTTCTTGAAGTTCGTTTGTGGTTGCCGGTTGCATCCGTTGGCAGCGCCGTCCATCCAGCAAAAGCATCCAATGGAAGACTCTGAAAGGGTTGGTGGTGGCTGAGGGCTTTCTTCGCTCCTAAACAATTGAAATTATTAGATTGGTGTATGGTCAAAGGGATAATAACAGAAGTTTGAAAAAAACAAGAAATTGATACCCTTTTTACCTTTGGCATTAACACAAATACCAATTTGATCAAGAAAAGTCTTTTAGTTTGAGGGGATTACAAGGGAATATAATGAATTCAGCATAGGCACACGCACAGGCACGTGGAAGCATTTCTTCTATATCAACATCGGAGGCTCTCAGAAAGTTGAAATAGGAGAGCACTCAATTTGGGGTGGGCTTACTACTTAAATGCTTCTAACATTTATCCCCTCCGCACTTCGTTATCTAGCGTTTATCGTGGGTACGATAACTGGTACACCAGAGGTGCGTCATTCCTGGCCCTCGCAATGCTCTAACGTTCCCACTGGATATGGACAAAACTGTCTCATAATGTTTTGAACCCTGCTCACGTATCGCTTTAATAGGCGAAGAGTCCAACCCTTCGAACATACTACAGACCCACGCGGTGAAATGGTAAAGTGCCAACCTCAAAAGCTTTACCAGCTATTTAAAGCTACCATGACTATATGGTTTATGATTCAAAACTTAAATTACTTATTTCTCGCTTAAGAAACAAAAGACGAAAGGATGAAGCAAGAATGAGACCATAGCATACATAATCCTTGAAAACGAAAAGTCAACAAAAGCGCCGCGTCCTCTGCACTCGACGCTCACATGTTCTTCATCGATCCAAACCTCTTCTCTTTATCTCCAAATTTCGTAGTGTTATAGAATTTCAAATAATCCTCAAACCTATAGCCACCAGGATACAGAGCCTCCGCCGCCGGTGAAATAACGGCGTCGGTCGCCGGATTATAAAACGTAGCAATCGACAGCCGACTCCCCTCCTTCTCCGCCAAAACGCGGTGCAAAATGCTCTTATATTTGCCGTTGGTCAGAACCTCGATTTGGTCGCCGATGTTGACGAAAATGGCGTTATTCTTGGACGGCGGGATTTTGAACCACTCGCCGTCTTTCTGGAACTCCAGTCCCGGGACTTTGTCGTCTTGCAGAAGGAGAATGATTCCGCCGGCGTCGGTGTGCTCTCGGAGCCCTCTCACCAGCTCCGGCCGAGGACATTCTGGGTATTTCGCTACTTTAGTTCCGACGGAAGGCCCTTTGGTTCCATTGAATAGCTGCTTAATATATGTCTTTTGCAGGCCAAGATTCTCGCACATTAACTCTGCAAGCTTCTCTGCTATCATTACCAGCTGAGGTATATACTCTTCTTCCATTGCTTTGCTGTTCATCTATGATTCGTTAGTTCCTTCACAAAATATGATTTAATTTAGTTAATTTAGAAGGGGAAATTACCAAAGATGATCCGAGATGTTGGGAAATCGAGAGATATTAGAGGTTGGTTTATGGGAAATGAAGAACGTGGATTCCCAATCCACATCAAATAATTGAATTTTGCCCAAGTTTTTGGCCACTTCTGAATCATAAAACTTGTCTTTCATTGTCTCATCATAGTGTGTGTTCACCAATAGCTTCACCTTCTCCAACACGGCTTCTTCAATTCCATGATTCTCTATCTGCGCAACAAGAACACATATCCATTAACATGATGAACACCAAGAACAGATATTAAAAAAATATGAAGATGGTACCATAAAGAAGCCCCAATTGAGGCAAGCGTCGTGTAGGACAGACAAGGCTCTGGCCCTGTTGTCTCCGTTCACCTCACTGAAATCAATGGTGGGGATCTTCATCTTCGTATGGAAGTGTAGAAGAATGGTGAAACATGGGGAGTATATATAGGCCTTCCTTTCGATTCTTTGAAGATTACCCTTTTCATCATTCATTTCCATTCTTCATCGAATAAATCTTCTAAATTAAGCTTTCAAACCAACTTTGCTTAACTTAATTCTAACTTAATCCTTGTAACGGAAGTAAGATCGAGATCGATTGTATTCAGACACCCATAAACATAAATTAAACAAAGAGACAAAGATTTATATAGACATTCGTTCAGAAAGAATAAGTTCTCATAGTATAGTAACCCATCACTATAACATAATTGTTTATAAGTGTATCTCTCACCCTGCAAAGTCTCTCTTACAAAATTTATCCCAATTATTTTTAGTCAAATACAAAATAACAATGACTCCACCTCTCAAATAGTTTATTTAAAAGCTTCCATAACTGTCATATACTCTATTTTAGTGATAGACAATGCAATAGTAGACTGCAATGTTGAACGTCGACAAATAGGTCCCTCAGTCATAGTGAACATATAACCAGTAGTCAATCTCCATCTGTCTCTTGGAAGCAATCGACGTGTCATCATCATACAAGACCAAGTAGATAAATAATTGATCATCAAAGATACAATTTTGTAGGGTGAGAGTGTGAGAGATACACTTATAAACACTTCGGTTATAGTGATGGGCAACCAGATGGATGTAGGAGAATTTAGTATCTCCAAACCAAATTTTTGTTCATGGGTATGTAAGTACAATCGATGGTGTTTCGTTTCCGCTTCCGCTACAACATGATGATGCATTAAGATACAAGAGTCGGTCAATAAACCAAGTGGGTATTACAGCCTTTTATGATTCTGTGTGCTGCGAACAAAACTGGGCATTCAAAATCATGAAATCAAAAGCTTTGATTTTACGATATGGGTATGAGTTAAAAGGAGTTAGTTTGACATCAAAACCGGGGACGCAAACCTTTTCAGTTCACACATTTCGGCTTTAGAGGGGCAATATTGGAAACATTTCATTATTATTTGATTTTCGTAGGCATTAAAATAAAAAGCTTATGTCTAACCACATTGCATCACTTAATTCCTCGCCCATAGTTTAGTTTCCATTAATTCAGCGGAGAAATAAACAATAATTTTAAATTTCCACCAAATTTATTTTATTTATTTATTTATTTATTTATTTTTGTCCTAAAATAAAAAGAATTAAAAGATTTAAAATACAAAGCAAATTATTTATTTTAAGGATTAAAATAAATAATAATTAAGGAAACATTTTTGTAAATATTTATTCGTTAGAAGGGTATTTTTGTAAATTCCATCCTATACTTTCTGCAAGGAAGATCGGTCGGCCCAAATTCAAATTGGACACGGCGTAGACCCAAATTGAAACCACTCTCCTCGTCTCATTGGTGGGCCCAATTATTCTGTCCACGTTAGTTCTTGATTTAGAAGTTTTATACAAAATTATAAAATAAAATAAAAAAAAATAGCTTTTACTTTGCAATTGTTTAAAAAATATTGTTACTTTTATAAAAGTTAAAAATATTCCAAAATTATCTTTATAATAAAAAAACATCATTCAAAATGTTGTTCTTTTTTACTCGATTTAGACATGAAATAAAAAAATAATTATCAGAATGTTAAAATTAAAAATTTTGGAAAGAATATAATAATTTTTTAAGTATTTTATTTTAGAATTTAGCATAATTCTATATTTTTCATTTATCTGATGTTTGTATCGTCGTCGTTTTTAGTTCACTCACTGCACCTCCTAAAGCCGGCTATGCCAGTCGGCAAGCTTCGATTTTCGTGTCAGTCTCCGGCGACGGCTATGGAGCCTACTGCGAACGACGACGAGACGTGGCTGTGGGCGCAGATTAAAGCCGAGGCGCGACGAGACGCTGAGTCAGAACCGGCGTTGGCGAGCTATCTTTACTCGACGATTTTGTCACATTCATCGCTTGAGAGATCGCTTTCGTTTCATTTAGGGAACAAACTTTGCTCCTCTACTCTTCTTTCCACTCTTCTTTATGATCTTTTCCTCAACGCTTTCTCCACTGATCCCACTCTACGATCCGCCGCCGTTGCTGATCTGCGAGCTACTCGAGAACGTGATCCGGCATGCGTTTCCTTCTCACACTGCCTCCTTAATTACAAAGGATTCTTGTCGTGCCAGGTTAGAAGTTGCAATTTGCAATTTGCTCTTGAATTTGGTGAAATGGCGTTTTTTCTGTTGATTGAATTCTTAGGGATTGAAAGCATTTTGCCCTAAATTAGGGATTCTTAGGGTTTTGGTTTCATGAGATGAAAATTGAATTGTTCGATAGATTTGATCAGACTCTGGAATTGATTCGAAGATTGTGATTTCTGAGTTGACTGGCTACTACTACTCCCGGATTAAAGCACGAGAAATACAAAAGTTGCAATATAATGAATAAAGAATAGGGATTTCCTTTTCATGTACTGATTCTTGTTTGGATATATATATATATATCTGTAACAATCTGAATCATATTATGAATTACAACTAAACTATAGAGGGAAAGAGAAGTAACTTCCCTATGTTAAATGCTTTGTGTTTCTTTTGTTTTGAACATTATACGAACTATTTGATTTTACTAATACAGTTAGTGATTTCTGTTTTAGGCTCATCGTGTGGCTCACAAGCTGTGGACTCAATCACGCAGGCCGCTAGCTCTGGCACTTCAATCTCGCATCTCCGATGTCTTCGCCATCGACATTCACCCAGCAGCAAAGATTGGGAAAGGCATTATGTTGGATCACGCCACCGGGCTAGTAGTAGGTGAGACCGCAGTGATAGGCAACAATGTATCAATTCTTCACCATGTCACTCTTGGAGGGACAGGAAAGATGTGTGGAGACAGGCACCCAAAGATCGGCGACGGGGTTTTGATCGGCGCTGGAGCCACAATTCTGGGCAATGTGAAGATCGGAGAAGGAGCTAAGATCGGCGCGGGATCAGTGGTGCTCATTGACGTGCCACCACGGACGACTGCGGTGGGCAATCCAGCACGGCTGGTGGGAGGGAAGGAGAAGCCATCGCAGCTGGAGGACATCCCTGGAGAGTCGATGGACCATACGTCGTTCATCTCGGAATGGTCAGATTACATAATTTGATAGTACTTTATAGCACGAGTGATATGCATTTGCACCTCTCTGGCATTGTCTACTTTTTCATAATGCCATTGTCATGGCTGTAGCAGCCATTAGAACAGGATACATCGACCTAGCTTTATGGTTTCCCTTTTCGTATATTTCACACTCTTTTGCCACCGTACTTCTTGATCAGTCTCTGAGTTTTGGCAAATAAATCAAATGCTAATTAGCTTCAAACTAGCATACTCCTTGGTTAGAGTTACCACTTTTTTTTTTAATTATTTCAAAAAGATTATACTTGTTGAACTAAAATATCAATGGTTCACGATTCACAAACTCATCACTGGCATATATTTCTTACAACGTCAAGTATTATTCGGGTTATCAGATCATACCGCCAATACTCGAGTTATCAGATCATAGAAGCGCTCCTAATTTCAATTTTAGGTTTAATATAACATTTTAAAATTTAAAATTTTAATTATGATAAGAATTAAATAAACTATGATGGTTCTAAGTAATGAAAACTTCAAATTAAAATATAAAAAAAATCCTGGACATTTATGAAGTCCAGATATTTTGTTTCTACACGTCCAATTATCTCAACAAAGTTCTTGGCCATCTTCTGGGCTCTATGCCCCCACCAACGCTCTTCCTTTTAAGATAACAAAAACAGCACACCAATGGCTTCCTCGATTCCTTCTCAGACCACTCCAAACTCCATTATCACTACCAATTTCACATCGCGAATCATCCCATTTCACTCTCCCGCGGTCAAATCCTTCCGACCCACGCTCTTCTGCCCTAATGCTCTCTCCAATTCCAGCAACCGGAAGCCGGCTCGCCGGTACGACGGCCAAACCACGACGAACACTCTCTCCAAATCTCAGAACCGGACGAGCGATTCAGTTCTTAGTCCTCCGTCGACGGTGCATTTAGTGGCTCTATGCGAGGCGGGTGAGGTAATGGACGTTCTGGAATTTATAGGCCATGGTGCTAATCTTGATTATGGTATTTTTACTGCTTTGTTGAATTCTTGTTGCAATTTTAAGTTGCTTGAGGCTGGGAGAAGGGTGGATAGGCTGTTGAAAGGGACGAAATTTAGTGGGGATGTGGGATTGAATAATAAATTGATCGAAATGTACTCTTGTTGTGGCTGTATGAAAGATGCGCGTAGGGTGTTTGATAAAATGCCTGACAGGGATATTAGGACGTGGAATTTGATGATCAAGGGGTATGGAGAGAATGGGGAAGGAGATGGTGGATTGGCCTTGTTTGAGCGAATGAAGAATGTGGGGTTGCAGCCAAATTCTGAAACATTTCTAGCGGTGTTAGCAGCTTGTGCCATGGCTGAAGCTGTGGAGGAAGGTTTATTTTACTTTAACTCGATGGAAAATGAATATGGAATCATTCCTGAAATTGAACATTATTTGAGAGTTGTTGATGTTCTTGGGAAATCTGGCCATTTGATTGAAGCAGAAGAGTTCATTAAGAAAATGCCCATCAGCCCCACAGCCAAAATCTGGGATGCCCTTAGAATCTACGCTCGACTCCATGGAAACATCGAGCTTGAAGATCGAGCCGAAGAGCTGATATTCTCTTATGACCCGTCCATGGCGCCCACGGCTGCCAAGCCACCGCTCCCTCCACTAAGGAAGCAATCGGTCACCAACATGTTGGAGGAGAAGGACAGAGTGAGGGACTTCAGATGTTCAATGCCTTCCAAAGAAGAGGGGGAAAGGGGGAAGCTAAAAGGATTGAATGGACAAATGAGAGAAGCAGGGTATGTGCCAGATACCAGATATGTGCTTCATGACATTGATGAGGAGGCTAAACAGCAAGCTTTGCAATACCATAGCGAGCGGTTAGCCATTGCTTACGGATTGATCAGTACGCCTGCGAGAACGACGCTAAGAATCATCAAGAATCTTCGGATCTGCGGCGATTGTCACAATGCAATCAAGATCATGTCAAAGATTGTTGGAAGAGAGTTGATTGTTAGAGATAATAAGCGGTTTCATCACTTCAAAGACGGCAAATGCTCTTGTGGGGATTACTGGTAAATACATCAACTGTATATACACAATCATATTTGGGCTTCCTTCGTAATATTTACTCCATTGCTTTTCATTTTCTCGTCTTTCCTTATTGACTCTTCACAATGGTATGATATTGTCCATTCTGAGCATATGACTTTATTTTTTGTTTTCTCGAAAATTCTCGTACTAATTCATACTTATGGAGATGTATTTCTTATTTAGCTGACGTTGGACTCCTCTTCTAACAATTCCCAATAGTTTTATGATAGAAAGCGAAGCGAGAAAGTCAGATTGAAAGATAAATATTCATAGTAAACATGAGATTTTGAGGATTCTGGTTCTAATGCAAATCCAAAAAAAATCTGGTCAGTAGAATAACAGATATTTTCAAATTTTTAATCAAGTTTTAGTTTTTAATATAATAAAGGTTTTATGGGTAGAAAATGAGAAAATTTAAGAAGAAAGGGTTAGACATGAGAATAATTAAATAATAAAAGTTTTATTAGTCGAAATTATGCAAATAAATATTTAATATTTAATTAGAAATGACAGCACACCCTTAAAATTAAATTTCCTAAAATACCCTTTGGATTAAAATTTGTGTGGGCCGAGGTGAAAACCAGCAGGCCCAGGGTTGGGTGGAAGAAGTCCTCGCTCCGTAGTCCGTCGTTCCATTGAAATTCTCAAGATCTCAATTCCTCATTCTCTCTTCTTCACGGTGTCGGAGCTCCACTTTCTCCCACTACTAGCGGCGACAGAAAGGAGGTCAGCTCCTCAATCTCCTCCTCCCTCATCGTCTCTTTTGCTATTTCTTGAAGCTGAACGCCTTTCACATTCTCTTCTATTTTCTGATTTCTAATTTTCTTTTTTCCATCCGTTTCCTCCCCGTCTGATTTGATCCTTGGTTTTGCCTTTTACTGTATCCTGTGTTTTTCTCTTTCTTTTATATGATCTTTTCATCTTCTCTGTCGTATAAATACTAAGCCTTATTTGTATAATAGTGGAAATCTCTTTTTCTTTTTTTTTTCTACGTCTTTGGATCGTTGTTTCGGATATTCGATATTGAAATTTGATTAGGGTTTTAGCCGTTTGTTATTTTCAAAATTGACTACACTAAAACTGTCTATTGCCAAAGTTCGGAGGGAAAATGTCTGTGATTTAGGGTGCTATTTATGGCGGAATGGTTTCTCTGGATCTTATTTTCCGACGCATGTGACGGTAGTAAATTTCGAGTTACTCCATTTTGCCTGTTCGACGTTGATTTTTGTGCTTAACGAAGAATCATATTTTTTCACATGGCAGTGGTTTTCTAGATCTCTTTTCACTTCTGATTTTGTCTGAGAAGCCATTTTTTCGGGTATTTATTCATTGTTAGGAACGTCAGGAAAATCGATGTTTTGTAGAGGGTGATAAATATGTTCTTGTTTTCCACATGGATTCAAAACTATTGTTTTCTTTAATTTAATTTTTTTATCTCTTGGCTGCAGTTTTCTAGCTTTCTTTTGGATTTAATGGCGTCCAAGTTGCATCAGTTGCAATCCAAGGCATGTCAAGCTTCTCGATTTGCTATCAAGCACGGGTCCTCCTATTATAAGCAGTTGTTGGAGCAGAACAAGCAATACATCCAAGAACCAGCTACTGTGGAGAAATGCAGCTTGCTTTCAAATCAGTTGTTTTATACTCGTCTTGCTAGGTTATTACCTTCACTACTCATGCTATTCTTGCACCTTTTCCTTGCATGTTGAAGAATTCCTACCGTTTTCATGTTCATGTGTTCTTGGGATTATACCTATTAGCTTAGTTTTCGTATCTTACGCTGGCATTCAACTAATACAATTGTGTTTTAGAAAATCGTCTGTTTCTATATTGTTTTCCACACTGCTTCTAAGCATTGCACCACTCGTGAGAATTATAGTTCATTGACCTATTTCCATTCATGGAATAGTATACATATTTGATATACGCGGGAATGAATCCCCTGTCACCTGTAGCACTGTGCTTCGTATGATAGCATTTTTTTTTTCCTGAAAATGGGTGCATTTTCTGTATTATCCCCCACCCGATGTTCATATCCTAAAATACTTGTCCCAAGCTGCACTTCATTGCTTTACTCACTGATTTCGCACTTTACGTTTATTATGCAGCATCCCAGGCCGATATGAATCATTCTGGAAAGAACTTGATTGTGTTAAAAACTTGTGGAAGAACCGGCAGGAGCTGAAAGTTGATGATGCTGGCATCGCGGCCTTGTTCGGGCTTGAGTGTTTTGCATGGTTTTGTGCCGGTGAGATCGTTGGAAGGGGCTTTACATTCACAGGTTATTATGTCTGAGGACATCCATAGTCATTTGTGGAAGGGATGTCGATAATGGAGAATTCCCTTCTCTTTTCTGCGGGTACTTCGCATATAGTTTTTTTTTTTTTTTTTTTTTTTTTTNTTTTTTTTTTTTTTTTTTTTTTTTTTTTTTTTTTTTTTTTTTTTTTTTTAATTAAGTTGAGAATTCTGCGAGCAACTCTGATAGATTAATAATAGCCCATGAATTCCGAGGGGGACTATAAAGGATTCTTGCGTTGTTCAAATTGATAAATCCAGATACTAACTATGAACTGGAAATCTGATTTGGTGAAACCTCCATACAAGATGTGGCTTATGCTGCAACTTCCCTGCATTTTTCTTGGAGCTTTTTCCCAGATGATGTGCTAGGTTGTGCGTTGAACTAGAGGTATGTCATTGTGCAATCTTTGTATTTGGGTGTTCTATTCGAAATCTTCAATATCAAGTTCATCTCTCCCATGTGAAGGTTTTTAAAATCACCTCTAGTTTTGAATGGATTTTGGTTGTACGTTGAGGATCGGTATATGCCTTGAGAACCAGTAATAATAGCCTATAAGTAAGTTACTTATATGTGCAAATTAGTAGTTCATACCAAAGTTGAGGGGTTATGAAATGGCTTGAGAAAGAAAAAACTTTTGAAATGGTACCATGTGTAGTTTGGTGCATTGTCTATGAAAGACCCCTTAAAGGAAGACGCCCAAAATGCTTGCTGGTGTGACACATGTATGTTTCACAGAGTAGTTTGTTTAGGCCAGAGTCAAAGAGTGGTTGAGAGTGGACACCATGTCTCCTACATTTTGAGGCATTTCCACTCTTTCTTAGACGTCATTTTGGAGTGTGGATATAGGGCCTTGGGGATAGTTCGTTGAGTATTTGGGACACAAAATTTGGTAAGCTTTTATCTTTCATGTAAACGAACTTAATTCTAGAATCTTAATTTCAGCCGGTCGAACTCTCGAAAACCCAACTTTTGAGATTATTTAAGTTTACAATCTATGAAATTGAAATTAAATTTATAAATTTATTAATAAAACAAAATATTTATATAAAAAAAAAATCAACTTGTGATTAATGGCTTTTTTTAATAGATTAGTGTCTATTTTTTATATCACTAGAAATAGACTTGGTAGTAATAGGTCGGCCCACTTGAAGTTAGGGCCGAGCCCAGTTTCGTAGGTTAATTTTAATTCACGTACTTAATTAATTATTTAATTATTACAGCCCTAATTTAAATATTTACAATAAAAAAAATAATAATAATTTAGTAGACTGTCCTCTATAAAATTAATTCATTGTAATTTAATAATATGAAACTTTTAGACGTAATTATCAATTTCTATTTTAACCAAAAGGTAACCTATAAAATTAATGTCAGGACAAAAGAAGACAAACATGTACTTGATTAGCTATTTTAGTAATTGAATTTAATAGTAGTTTTAGTAATAAAATAAATTAATATAATAATTATATTAATGTAATAATTTATATGTTTTAGAAATGGTACTCAAACAATTCAACTAATCCTAAATAAAATAGGATTGAGATTATGGAATGGAAGTGTCCAAATCAAATTTTAACCTTTAATAATAATATAATAATTAGTTCCATATTAAATAATTATAGAGCTACCTCTCTAAATTAATTACCCACCCTACCATTGCTACCCAACTAACTTTGCTTAAAAAAACCTATTTAATTTATTATTTTCTCAAATTTTAATATTAATAAAGGAACTTTATTATATTATTGACCACAATATGAATAAAGGACAAAAGCAGTAATTTGTATCTTTAAAATGTTTTTTTTACTGTCATAAATTATTGTTATAAAAAAATATCATAACAATAACAATATTTTAAAGCTTTCTACACCCAAATAACATAAACTCAAAAATAAATACGAAAAACAAACAAATATCAATATTAAATGACCCTCACGAGATTATTAAAACCTACAATGCTATTAACAATGTCAAGAAGGTTTATTTAAATAAAAATAATAATAACGATAATAAAATATTTTTAAACTCATTTTAAGTTATATTACGACAAATCGAACAATGTGATTTGAGAGTTTTCAAAAAGAAGAAAAAAAAATGAAGGAAGAAAATCGGAAAATTGTGAAGTTTCTTTTGAAGTTCACATGCGCACTATCCAACACAATTTCCCAAAACGACAAGTCGTTTTTCATTTCGATTCTATCTTACTAACTCTGTGTATATTCTCTATTCACAGTGTTCAACCCCAAAATTACATCTCAATCCTTACCTTCTTCTACTTCTTCTTCGTCTTCTTCTTCTCCACCGTAAACCCTAACCCTAGCCGTTTTCATTTCCCCTACGTTTCAGAAAATCTGTTCCTCATCGCCGATGAACCTCGCTAAATCATCCTCATCCCAACTGAATCCCTCCGACACGGACGACGCCTCCTCCGTCTTCCACAACTTCCATTTCTCCACAGTCGCAGAATCGATTTCCATCAGTTTGATCCTCGCTCCGTTCATGTCCACGCTTGCCATCACCGACGAGTCCGATTCCGAGAAAGATGAACCGCAACTCTCTTCGTTTCCATTGATCGTAACGAACGACGACGATGATTGAAAAATCATCGCCGATGAGTACGGATCGTCAATGAACTTCACTTTCTCCGCCATCGGCCGGCTTTTCTCAGCGTCGTCCAGAAGCATCATGAGTTCGCCGACTGTCTCCTCTTCCACCGAAATCCATGCCAGAATGTCGTTACCGACATCCTCCACCGCCGCCG